ACCCATGAAAACGAAATTATCTCCATCGTTGAGAGGTTAAGAACCACTGGCCGAAACTTATACCACTATAAGTACTCATTAATCGTAACTATAATATTTTTTAGGACAAACGTCCGTTTAGGAGAATACGACACAAGCAACAACGGAAGAGATTGTGTATTAGTGGCCCCTGGTGAGGAAGACTGCGCAGATCCCATCGTCACAATTCCTATTGAAGACACCATTCCACATCCAGAATACGATGCCATCACTCGAAAGAATGACATCGCTTTGATCAGGCTGGAACAGAATGCACCTTACACAGGTTTGTTTTTGGGTTTTTTAACGGATGTTTATATATTTTTAATAACCTAGTACCGTCATCTAGTTAATTTAAAATATCTTAATTCATGTAGACGTCTATTAGAGACACTTATGAAATGTCAAATTTACCATCAGTTCGGAGTGCTTTCAAGCTAAGAACTGACAAGAAACTCAGTTCTTATTCCTTTCAAATAAGCTTGTACATGTTTAGATTAAAGAATGATAACTGACATTATTCAAAAGTGTTTTAATATAAATTTATTTGAGTGATGAAAATAAATAATTTCTATTAAATTTATACGTACAATTAGGCAAAATCGCGATATATTACCATGTTTTATTTATTTTTTATTAAGTTTCTGATATTTCGGCACTGTTTTAATCGCTATGATCATGGGTAAACTGAAGATCTATTCTATTCTACTTACCACAATCCTTACTAATATTAGAAATGTGAAAGTAGGGATGTTTGTTACTCTTTCACGCAAAAACTACTGAACCGATCATCATGAAATTTTCTCCACTTGTCATTAGAATAAACATAGGATACTTTTTATATAAAAAATAAAATATGTTTTTTTTTCAAACATTTTGCTACTTCAGCGCCATCTAGCAACCAGTAATGAAGTTATGCGAGCAATGCCGCGGGTAACAGGTAATATTTAATATTCTTAATGTGTTTATATTACATTACAGATTTCATTAGGCCTATTTGCCTTCCAACGAGCGACATAACTGCATCTCCTCCATCCAAGTTGATACTAGAAGTGGCGGGATGGGGGGCGTATAATCAAACTACCCGGAAAAGCAATATCAAATTATATGTGAGAGTGCCATTCGTCGACATGCAAGTATGTGATGATTCACATTCGTAACATATATGCGGTTTCAGAGGAGCTTCCCCCCGCGTACACTTAGATTGTGGAATGAACTACCTGCCGAGGTTTTCACGACAGACTACAGCAAGGGGTTTTTAAAGTACCCTACTTTAAGTATACCCAAGGTTGCTTAAGGGACGGCAACGCGCACGTGACACCCCCAATGTTTCAGGCGTCCATAGGCTACGGTAACCGTTTACCATCCGATGGCCGTATGCTTGTTGACGACCTACGTGGTAAAATATATATATGTTTATATCTTACTAATATTACAAGCGTATGTTTGTAATTGGATGTTTGTTACTTTTTCACGCAAAAACTACTGAATGGATTTTAATGAAACTTCACAATAATATAGCATATATCCGCGAGCACAGCTAGTATATAATAATATTAATAATCTTGGACATTTTTTTACGTTACATACCAATAATTTTTTTCTCTCACAAACCTAAGTATTTTAAATAAGTGTATTTTTTATTAATCATACGAAGGTCATTAGTTTTATAAAAAAAGTTAGTTAGTCTTTGTTTTAGTGAAATATATGTCAATTAAAAAAACAAATTCTAGTTTTCCCCGCTCTGAATATTTACTCACTCACACATGCTAATGGTGAAAGTGGAATTAACCAAAATAAAATAACCTATTAGGTAGTTATCAATAAGTAAATAAATATATAGGACGCATTCTATATCATGTTCGTATAAAGCAAAAATTATATGTTACCTTCTACTGTATGGTGTGTGTACATGCATATATATAATATATATAATAACAAATAACCCTGAACAATCGACACAGAGCCCTCTTGTCCCAAGGTAACTGATATAAATACTTAGTTTTTTTTTTAAATAGGTACATACATAGTATACATAGAAAACACCCAGACCGATACAAATAATCATACTCATGAATACAAAAGTTTGCACCGTGCGAGGAATCGAACCCGCCATCGGAAGTAAATCGGTGTGCTAAACCGCTAAACCACCGAGGTCGTCAAACATATATATGTACTATATAGCATTATATTTTATAGGAGTGTAAAACTATATACAATCAACCAAAGCTGGCCGAGGCCGAGTTATGGAGCAAGCAGATATGTGCGGGCGGTGAAAAGAATCGGGACTCCTGCAAAGGTGACTCCGGGGGCCCCCTCATGTATCAGAACCAACGTATTTACGAAGCAGTTGGCCTCGTCAGCTACGGGCCCACGGTGTGTGGACAAGAGAAGATACCAGCGGTGTATACTAAAGTATACGACTACATCAGCTGGATCCGTGATCAACTGAAGCCTTGATATATGAATACAGTAGTTTTCAACACACTCGCTCATAAAGTGTATCTAATTTCACCGGTTTTCGATATATAAAGCAGCTTATAAAACGCACGTGTCGTTATAAACGCAAATAGTGAAATTACACTCCAAAGTCGCACTATCTGCTACTTTTCAAATTTCGAACCAACCGCCGCCGCGCCGCATGGCGCCGCGCCAGCCAGTAAGCATCGCGCTGATTAAAAAAAAGTAAAATGGCGGGAAATATGTATAACTTTAATAATTATAACTTTCGTCGTTTCAGAAATTCAGTGATTAAAAATGAACAATATGTGATATCATGATTTGTTATTTCATTACTTAGAATTGAAAGATGTCGGGTCAAATTCTGCCTCGTCTGAAATAACGCAGTTAGTTATAACGTAATATACTAAGATTCTCGACAATGTTGTTTTAATAAATAAACCTTAATGTAATAACAGCGGCGATTTTTATTATAGTGCATCAGTATACCTTTAGCGCAGACACTATTTCATTATTATCCATTAAAAAAAGTAACTGACATAAATGCATCGGGAGGGCGCCACATAACTATACAAATGAGGTAGCATACAGCCAGGTATTTAAAAGTAAAACAGATCTATGTGCTTTATGGTCTTTATTGAAGTGCAATCTTACATCTACAAAACCATTTGTTACGACGAAACAATCAAATAACTTGGCATCTATCGATAACAAAATGACTTTATATAACATCTAATTGTACACAGATCATCACAATAACACTTTTATGCATCCACAACAACGCAATTTGTTAATTTCAATATCACAAAGAATTAAAAAATAAGCACCATGCGCCAATACAAAATTTAGCCTGGCCACACATTTTCGATAAGAGTCGGACAGCTCGTCTATAGTTTAGCTATACATTCGGAGCGCCAATGCAAAAGTTAGCCTGGGCATATATTTCCGATAAGAGTCTGACAGCTAAACTGCAGTTTAGCTAAGTATACATTCGGAGCGTAAATGCAAAAGTTAGCCTGGGCACACATTTCCAGTGTCAAAGCAGCTAGTGAGATTAACTCTCCAGTCAGTGGCACGGTGACGGAGAAGAACAGCAATGTAGAGGATAAACCTGCTCTTATTAACACATCATGCTATGATAAGGGTTGCCTGTTCAAACTTAAGTTGACGAAACCAGAAGAATTGAAAGACCTAATGACTGAAGAACAGTATGAAACATTTCTAAAGACTGATGTAGAAAAGGAGAAGGACACATAAATATTTATTTGTTGTAATTGTTATACTGTTAGAATTAAAATTAGATTAGATTAAATTAAATTGCAGTTTGATCATATTGCTTTGTGAGTAATTGATCATCATAGCAACAAACATAAATTGTCAGCATATATTGGCATGGAAGAATTCAATTCTTACACAAATTTGTACCATACAAACAATGTAGATGAAGTTGAAACGATGATGTATGTTCTCCGGTATGGATATGAAGGCGGAAAAATGACATCTGGACTGGAATGGGTATGTACTTCACCATGGCTGCAGTGCTGGAACGTCGAGGGTCACCTATTTAGCGGCTCAGATGGGGCCGCTATTATTTATGATTATGTGTTCATGTAGAAGCAGCATCAGGAAAGGAGGAGGTGAAATGATGAGTCCAGTGATATAAGAAAGTGATTCGGTCTCGAATGACAAGTTATTCTATTCTTCTGTCGTAACTAGGCAACGGTGTTGCCGCGCGATAATAGTTAATTCGCCACATATAGATTGTTAACCATATTATTATGTTTATCACACCCCTAATATCTGTTAGCATCAATATTAGTTTCTTTATGTTCAATGGTATTGTCGCAGTAATATGAATTAATATAGATTTGAAAAATTTAAGTAGAAATAGCTTTTATTGAGAGGCTCCAAAAATCATTAAATAAAGACAAGAACAATTGAGAAACTTCAAGCAGCCATTCTCTAACTTTATTAAATGAAACATTTTATACCGGCCTAATAAGTGATACAACATATCTATTTCGGTCGTTATTTTTACGAGCATTTATGCCGTCTTATTGTATCGGAGTTACGCGCTGGAGATAGAAAGTACATCCAAACTAAATTAAAACTATTAATTTAGTCTTTCTGGTGTAGAATTTAATATTATACTCTTAATGAAATTAACTATTACCAATTTACGTGAAGTATAACGTATTACGTGAAGTATACCAATTTACGTGAAGTATATTCATAATAGTTAAAAATCACACCACTCTCTTCTTCTTCTTCGTTATGTCTTTAAATTCGGATTCAAATATGTTTTTCCTTTTCGATAGAATAAGTATAACGTGGTTTCCAATAGGCTCACAGTCCATGAGAGAATCAGCAACCTCAGTAGGCAGTCACTTGAAATACCGGTTAGTGGCGAATAATTTTCTCAGTTATTTGAAATTCGCCCATAACCTATTACATATATGGTTTAGATTAAACTGCTCAAAATACTAGTGACTCGTTACTATAATACATTGAAATAAACAAAGTATACAACATTTGCTGATGCTACATATGTGAGAACGCTCGTCTTACTGCAGCATCCAGGATTAAAGACTCATTCAATAAAAAAATATATTCTGTGATACATGCACCAACTGTGTGATAAAATAGTCTAAATTTAAAATGAAGCATATATTATTAATATTGGCTTCCATACTAAATGTGTACTTCGTGCGATCGCGTAAGTGCTATTTTATAAGTACTAGCTGTTAACCGCGACTTGAATGTGGAATGAAATTTTTTTATTGAAATAAATAAAATTACTAAAATAAAAGTTCCCCAAATTATTCCTGACAACATTGATTATCTGCGAGTTAAAGTCTCGTCAAAATCGGTGATTCCGTTTCAGAAATTAGCAAGACTGTAATTTTTTTAACTTAATTTTTTTATGTAAGTAGGTACTGTATAAATTTTCATATGTCTTTAGTAAAAAGATCTTAATTTGAAATTACAAACAGACATTTAATTTTTTTTTATTTGTACATAGATTTTATGAATCTTGATTGCTATGAGGAAAAATAAATTAATATTTTTCCTCATAACAGTAACATACGAACTTGAGACTGTCATCCTATCGTCTGCTATTCGAAAATATTGATATAAACAAAGGATAATCTTTTGCAGAAACTATGTATTATTTTAGAAAACATTTTTATATATATTTTTATTATTGAATTTGCTACAATGCATGGGTTAATAAATAGACTTACTTAATTCACCTTTCATTGACCCCGCCAGCGTATACCTTTATAGCAGGTAAGTTTGCAACAGCAAACCTATTTATAAAAGTATGTATGAATACATAATCATACATACTTATATAAATAGAGGGACAGGGGTTGTTAGTAATGTGAACTGGTTACTACATCACTAGCACACCAAGTCAGGTTGACCTCCACGCGTATAATCTACAAGCCACCACGATGGGCCAACTAATCTGACTTCATGTTCATCTTATCACCCTCCACAGGCGCCCCGCTGGCACATATCGTTAGCGCAGGCAGTTGCATAATTCCATAATCATAAAATAAAACTTGTATAATTATGATAATTTAAGTAATTATGCATATTTGTTCGGTGTACAAGATCAATTTGTAGTTTAAAGTTTTCTTTTATAAGTTTGATTAATATCAATCACTTCATTAAAATTTAATTATTTTCAGAATCATCATGTACTACGCCCAGTGGCGACCAAGGACGTTGTATACCCATGAAAGAGTGTCCTTCTCTCTTAACAAGCGTGTCTAAAAAGTCCATAAAACCACAAGATATGGAATTTTTGGCAAAGTCACATTGTGAGCTCGAGGGACAAGCGCCAAAGGTAGGCATCATATGAAATACTACTGACCCGCGCAATTTCGTCCGCATCACACTTACTTGACATTTATCATTATATTTCACCTCATTTACATATAAAACATACAAATTATAGCCTATGTGTTATTTTTATGTATAAGCTATATTACTGTAAAATTTCATTAAAATCCATTGGGTATTTTCGCGTGAAAGAGTAAAAAACATGCATCCACCCATCCATCCATACTCATAAACTACATAGTTTATAGTATTAGAAGGACAGGACAGGACTACCAGGACATTTATCCCATGAAGTAGTAAGAGGTATGGTCGATTGTCGACATATTGGTGAACATAACACTTGAAATGACCACATGTGAAATGTAGTCATTTCAAGTGTTATATTCTTAATCATCAATCTTTGCTTATTGGTATTTAAAATATAATTGTAGGAAGCCTTGATTCTTTGTCTATTATCGCTGTTTGCTTCACCGGAGAGTCAGTCAGTATAGTACAGACGACTCCTTTACTATTATATTACTATATTAAGGGATCATATTATAGTTAACAATTGTCAGCACTGAAATATACAGATAATTCTGGAATGGACAGTCAATATTTCATTTGATAATTTAATATAATAATAACCCACAATTTACACAGCGCCTTCTAATCCCATACTAAATAAAACTTGTGTTATACTCGCAGCTTTCGTGGAAACGAGTCGAAAACGACAAACTGATTGAAATATTTATATATAGTATTTCAAATTATTGCAGGTATGCTGTCCTACACAAGAAACAGTGAAGCAATGTTACACGCCTTATGGTAATGTAGGCAAATGCGTCAGTATATATTCCTGTCAACATCTATTAGACATGCTCAAACAACCGTTGATTCAACAAAATATTGATTATGTTAAGAGTTCTAGGTAAGTTAACATAAAAAAAATTATGTTGAATGTTATAACAAGAATAATTTAGGTACCTACATTTTTTACGACCACATAATTGGTCAGTAAAATCGAATCAGTAGAACTGGGAATTATCTTCTTTTTGTCTGTTTGTCTTCCTAATTATCGGTTGTCAGACACACACACAGTCCACAGCTTAATGCCCGCATGACGCCAGCAGTGTGTGCTAGAGACGATATAATACTTCCTTCTCTTTCCCACATATAACCCCAAACATCTAAACTCACAAACTTAAACACTTTATAATATTAGTATAGATAATACCGATAATATCTTAAGTATACAATATCTAATTGTATATACGAGTAGAAGACTTGTGAATAGCGAAGGAAGCCAAATGTCGACGTCGCGGTGCAACAACGCAAGACTTCATTGACTTTCATTCATTATTTAAATGCACTTATTTAGTTTGTTATTGGTGTTTCCATCATCGGAGAGTCAGTCAGTAATTGGCACATTAGAACTCACGATCTTAACCACTAGATCGTCGCGTGTCCTTTAAATCTTAGATGTAATTTAATTACAGATGCGCAGAAGAATACAATGTATGCTGTGGACCTCCAAAAGAAACTATTCAACGTGGGAATTGCCATAACAGAATAAACGCATTCCCTCCAGATCCATTAACTGAATGCTGCGGATTAGATAGCACTGGCTATAAGATATTCGGTAGGTAACTAAATATTACGAAAAAAAATACACTCATATTTATTTTATACTAGCTGTGCTGTGCCCGCGACTTCGTCCGCGTGGAATTTAACTTTATTTTTCTAAAATAAAAGTAGCTTAAGTTACTCCTTATTACATCGGCTACCTGCCAGTAAAAGTCCCGTCAAAATAGCTATGAGATTCGCCAGAACAAACAGTCAGACAGACGAAAATTGTAAAAATGTTACGTTGGTGTATGTACCGTATTTATATTCATATGCATGTAGTAAAAACGGTTATATATTACAAACAGACACTCCAAATTTATTTATATGTATAGATGATATTGGAATGGTAAGCAATCTGACGGCGACCTGGTGGTAAGTGGTAACCGTGCTATACATGTATTGCACTACGGATATCACGATACCATGTGAAACCCATGATACCCGTTGCTATTCTAGAGAACTAAGATGTCATTCTTCTTATCCTGTAACTTCATTATACTAGCTGTGCCCTCGACTACGTCCGCGTGGTATATTGACCTTGGATAGGATAAAATATTTAATAATCTAACCCAAAAAAAACAAAGAAAAAGTTTCATCGTTCTAGCTTCAAAAATGACGATACATCATTCATTATATACAACATATCATCTTCCTTTTCAACCCCTTTTTTGGAAAGGACTAAGGCGTATGTATGAACATACACGTGTGTCCTTTCTCAGGGTCTAGACTTAAATTTCATTTAAATCGGTTTAGTAGTTTTGATGTGAAAGTGAGACAGACAGATAGAGTTACCTACTTTCGCATTTATAATATTAAGTATTACGTAAGCACAATTGGGGTGTATTATCTGTGTATATTTACCATTCACATTAAGTACTTATGAATAAACGTAATTTTATTAACCGAAATTCATTCATTAATAATAGTAATGCTTGACTTATACAACCACAAGATTACAAAATTAAAAAGGAGAATATTTACATAATAGTTGAAGTTCATTAGCTAGGTAATCAATGGCAGAAAGTTGTGCAATACAAAATGAGGACTCTGGTATCTTAAACTAGGTATTACACCTGTGCTATAGGTATCAGTGCTCTCTTGTCACATGTGCTATACATATATTACATTAATTAGTGGGGGGGGGGGGTCTTTGCTTTGCTTATTTTGGATGACATGGGGGCAGGGGAGTTTAGATGACGATTACGTCATCGGTAGCCATGTTTTACACGGATGGCAATCATCGCCTGTTCCTGCAGTGATGGCATTGTTTGTACCTATTGCCACAAATTGAAATATTTCTATTGCGAACTCTAAAATTACCACATCTGTGCTCACTGCAATTAAATTTCAGTTAATTTCAATTCCAATGTGCCACATTTTGAATGCATCAACAGGATTTGAAGGAATATATCCACAAATCGAGCGGTACCCGTGGCTGACCATCATCGAGTACAAAAAAGGCGAAGTCATGAAAACATTGTGTGGTGGATCCTTGATAAGCTCCAAATATGTTCTGACTGCTGCCCACTGCGTCACCGGGGACATTTTAAAAGCTGGGTCTCCGTAAGTTTATAAAGAATGTTCGTTTACCTACAGCTAATATTAAATACTGATAGTGATTTTAATGATTTTTTTAATTGATGATAATTGAATGGAGCACGAGGTCAGGTCAGTTAGCCCATCGCGGTAAATTATATCACGATGGTTTCTAGATGGAACCACGTCGAGATCAAACTGATATAGTATTAGCAATGTGGTTATTAGTCCACATGGCTAACAATCCCACTCCCCACAGTCTACCTCTGGTCAAAGTCAAAGTCAAAGTCTCGTGTCGTAAGGATTATAAACTATGAAGTACACAAAATATTACTAGGTCAATAATTTCAAAATGGGAGATGGCATTAGAAGGCAGTAGATATAGAAACTTTATTATGTCCATTTTGTAACTGTTTTTGCACAATAAACGTATTATTAATATTATTATCCCGTCGTTGAGAGGTTAAGAACCACTGGCCTAAACTTATACCACTATAAATACTCTATTAATTGTAATTACAATATTTTTTTAGGACAAACGTCCGTTTAGGAGAATACGACACAAGCAACAACGGAAGAGATTGTGTGGCAGCGCCCAACGGTGGGGAAGACTGTGCAGATCCCATCGTCACAATTCCTATTGAAGACACCATTCCACATCCAGAATACGATGCCATCACTCGAAAGAATGACATCGCTTTGATCAGGCTGGAACAGAATGCACCTTACACAGGTTTGTTTTTGGGTTTTTTAACGGATGTTTATATTTTTTTAATAAGCTAAGAGAATTCACGCGGTTTATCTAGTCTAAATCATTACATCTTTATTCAAGTAGGTATATTACAGACACTTATGACATGTCAGATGTACCGTCAGTTCAGCTGCTTTCGAGCTAAGAACTGACAAGAGACTCAGCTCTTATTCTTTTCAAATGACCTTTTACAAAAATATAGATTCATTTTTAAATAAAAATTAGTATAGATTGATTATCAGCGTATGTTATTGCAATTTTTTAAAGAAATTGCATCAATCTAAGCAGAGTTTGTAGTGTGGAAGGATACTACATAACTAATAGAAATACTTGTATATATATGTTATTTTTTAATCTACCGCTCATTCGGGAGGCTGTCTCTTCACAACGTGTAAAAAGTACCTTTGAGTGGCAGTAGAAGTTGATTTGATTTAATGAAAATAAATTATTTCTATTCTATTATACCTACAAATGGGAAAAATCATCGGCATCTTACGTTTTATTTATTTTTATTAAGTTCCCTATATTTCGGTACGATTTAACCGCCACGATTACGGGTAAACTATTCTATTGTGCTTACAATATTGAAATTTTTTAATACGATTATATTACTTTACAGATTTCATTAGGCCTATTTGCCTTCCAACGAGCGACATAACTGCATCTCCTCCATCCAATTGGTTGAGAATCCTAGTGGCGGGGTGGGGGGCGTATAACGAGACTACCCGGCGTAGCAATACCAAATTACATGCTATAGTGCCATTCGTCAACATGCAGGTATGTGATGATTCACATTCATAACATATATATATTTATATGTCATATCTTAATATGCAATTGTTTAAGATATTGGATGGATGTTTTATACTCTTGCACGGAAAAACTGCAGAATGGATTTTAATGAAACTTCACAATAATATAGCTTATATATCAGAATGGCACATGCTATAAATTTCAAGCAGGTAAATCCGCGAGCACAGCTAGTATAATAATATTAATAACCTTTGACATTTTTTTACGTCACAAACCAACAATTTTTTTCTCTCATATAGCTAAATATTTTAAATAGATGTTTTATAGCTAGCTGTTCCCGCGACTTCGTCCGCGTGGATATTAACTTTATTTTCTAAAAAAAAAGTTACTCCTTATCACATCAGCTACCTGGCAAAAAAGTCCCGTCAAAATAGGTCCAGCCATTTCAGAGATTAGCCGGAACAAACAGACAGACAGACAAAAATTGCAAATGTTATTTTGGTGTATGTACCGTATTTATATTCATATGCATGTATAATAGTAAAAAACTGTTATTTAAATATTACAAACAGACATTCCAATTTTATTTATATGTATAGATGTATGGATGACATAATTTTTTTTATTGGGGTTAGGGGGGTTTGTGCTATTGTCAGGTCCTTAGACCTGTACATTGCGACTATATAGATGTATTGTACTCACCCTTATTCAAAGTTCACTACCTAGACCCGTGAGGGACAAGAATTGAAGGATATTCTTAGGAGCAATGGTTTGTATCTCCTTACAAAGGAGATATTTCTTTTATGCAGGAGATGGTTACAACCACATATGTTGTTTAGTGGTGTTTCCTCTTCTACTTGGCAAAATCTGCAGATTGATGTTAAGCTAAGGCCTAATTTCGCCATGTGCTTATTCAGCTTGCTATGTCCAGTGAGGGCCCTAATCATGATGCATATGTTTTTACTCAGTAGTAGTAGTCTATTGGAGTTTTGATTGGAGTAGCCCGTTATTAGGGCTTTTGAATGTACTAACCCTGGCATATTCTGCCAATAATTAAGTGCTTCGTGAAATATGACATCATACGAAGAACATTTATTTTATAGAAAACTAGCTTCTCATCCCGGCTTCGCACGGGTCTACATGTATTATATATATAAACCTTCCTCTTGAATCACTCTATCTATTAAAAAAACCGTTACAAAATCCGTTGCGTAGTTTTAAAAATTTAAGCATACATAGGGACGGACAGACAGCGACAGCGACTTTGTTTTATACTTTGTAATGAAGGTAGTATTTGTTTTAGTGAAACATATGTCAATAAAAAAAATTATTGAAGGTTTCCGCTTGGTCTCACACATGTTAATGGTAGAAACGGAATTAAACAAAACAATGTAAATCAATTAGGTAATCATTAATAAGTAAATTGATACCAATTACGCCATATATAGCATATTCGTATTTTATACGACTTTGGCTTTAGCCAAAGTCCCTTATATGTAACGGTAATATACACATCTTAACATAGTATAAAACAAAGTCGACGCCACTGTTTGTTCACTTATATCTTTTAAATTACTTAACAGATTTTAATGCAATTTTCAGCAATAGATAGATTGTCACGGTCACGAGTCAGTCAGCTCGTGACCACGGCTAGTGCAACCTAGTCGAAACGTCGAGAGAGGTAAATAAATACCTTTATTTGCCATAAAATTATTCGTCTTAAGACCCGGTTAATAATTTAAATAAATAGATAGTGTGATTCAGGAAGAAGCTTTATATGAATAATACATGTGTTATATACATAATACAGTATAGAACAAGCCGAGTAATTCAAAGATTTGTAATGCATTCATGCGAAGCCGAGACCTGTATTAGACGCTAGTATATTATTTAGCATTATATATTCTAGGAGTGTAAAACGATATACAATCAACCAAAGCTGAAGGCCGAGTTGTGGAGCAAGCAAATGTGTGCGGGCGGTGAAAAGGACCAGGACTCCTGCAAAGGTGACTCCGGGGGCCCCCTCATGTTGTACAACAGTTTTTACGAAGCCATTGGGCTTTTCAGCTACGGGCCCACGGTGTGTGGACAAGAGAAGATACCAGCGGTGTATACTAAAGTATACGACTACATCAGATGGATCCGTGGTCAACTGAAGCCTTGAAATATGAATACAGTAATTTTCAACACACTTTCTCTATGTGTATCTAATTTCATCGGTTTTTTATTTTATTCCTCGAATTGAAAGATGTCGGCTCAAATTCCGCCTCGTCTGAAATAACGCACTTAGTTATAACTTAATATACTATTAATAAATTAGGATTCTAGACAAATTTGTTTTAATAAATAAACCTTAACCAACCTAACCCAACTCCGATGGGCAGCGCTCGGGAAGCTCCGATATATCTTTTCGTCCAAATTTCCGCAGTGTCTCAAGACGAAGGTTTACGACCAGTGTGTGTTGCCAGTGATGACTTACGGCACAGAGACGTGGTCGCTAAATACGGGCCTCACAAACAAGCTTAGAGTCACTCAGAGGGCAATGGAGAGGGCTATGTTTGGAGTTTCTCTGCGTGATCGAATCAGAAATGCGGACTCATCAGAAAAAGAACCAAAGTGACCGACATAGCCCGAAGAATTGCGACACTGAAGTGGCAATGGGCAGCGATGCAGCGGATGCGGGCAGCGCAGGACCGATCGTCGTGAAGATCTTTGGGGGAGGCCTATGTCCAGCAGTGGACGTCTTCCGGGTTGCGATGATGATGATGATGATGATGAATAAACCTTAGTGTAATAAACAGCGGGGAGGCGATTTTTTTTATGGTGCATCAGTATAACATTAGCGCAGGCACCATTTCATTATTATCCATTAAAAAAAGTAACTGACATAAATGCATCGGGAGGGCGCCACATAACTATACATATGAGGTAGCATACAGCCAGGTATTTAAAAGTAAAACAGATCATGTGCTTTATGGTCTTTATTGAAGTGCAATCTTACATCTACAAAACCATTTGTTACGACGAAACAATCAAATAACTTGGCATCTATCTATAAAAATGAATTTAAGTAACATCTAATTATCACAATAACAATTTTGTGCATTCACAACAACGCAATTTGTTAATTTCAATATCACAAAATATTAAAAAATAAATTATTATACAATTTGAAGATATGTTGATAAGCGTGCTAAATTCAACATCAATAAAAATTTATTATACATAAAAAACAAATGGTAATTTTTTTTATAACATAACGACTATGCATACAATTATATTCATTCAGGTGCATTTAACACTCTAAATAGGATCGTATCTAAAGTAATTTATGTAGGTTAGCTACACGTACGCACCGCAATGCAAAAGTTAGCCTGGCCACACATTTCCGATAAGAGTCGGACAGCTCGACTGTAGCTACATATTCGGAGCGCTAATACAAAAGTTAGCCTGGCCACCCATTTCCGTTAAGAGTCGGACAGCTCGAGCCGACAACACCGTTGGATTGATGCTTTATATTATAACCTCTTTGGAAATGCGCCAATCGGACGCCGTCGTCAGCACAAGTTGTCCGAACTGATCCTAATAATATGAGGTTTTTATTAAATAATACATACATAATCGCAATACTTTCAGATTCAATCTGTTTAAAAAAAATAATTGCAACCGCGTTGTAACACAAGAAGTATGCTATCAATGGTTTTAAAATCTATTAACATTGACGTTATCTGACAGTATTGCGATTACGTTTCTAATAGTGTCAAACTGTCAACTACACGACACGAGTTGACATATAGTTTGACACGAGGGACACTAGTTGCAAAGTAAGCAGAGTTTGTCTCATGTGTATTCAGACCAATACAAATAAATATACTCATGAATACATTTTGCATTCATGAGTATATTTATTTGTATTGGTCTGAGATATCATAATATCAGATTTGAAATACAATTTGACATGTATAGACAAAATAATTCGTACTAGACGCCAGTTTTTTGAAAAAAATTTGAAAAAAGTCTAGTCTGCAACCCATAACTCTAAAATATAATGGCACCTGTTTATAAAATTAATTCAGTCAAATAATTACATATAACTTATGACTAGATTAGACAAAAAACCTATACAATACAATATGTATGGATTTTCTAATGAGTTTTTGATGACAATACCAACGAGCCTCATCGGAGTTGCCAGTGTTCCGAGAGCTGGTAGTTCATTCGGCAGAAAATAAGTATAAATAAATAACCCTCGACAATTCATACGGCGCCATTTAATCCTGAACTAAACAGACCTTTACTATGGGTATGAGGTACTGAATATTATATTATACTTAAATACATATTGGATTAAGTAATATACATAATATATAGAAACACACCTAAATCAATTCAAACAAATATACTTATGAATATAAATGATTGTATTGTGCGTGGACAGAACCTGCGACTATTAGAAGCAAGGCTGTGTATTTTTTTTTATTTAATAAAACTATAATGTACAAATACACAAAGGTGGACATGGCGGATTTAACACCTTGAGGCATTTTCTCCCATTCAATCATTGGGCAAACAGAGATTTATGATAATCTTAAATGTGATTAAATATACATATAGAAGCGCATACCAAATGATTATTATACCTTTAACCACCGAGGTTGCAAGCTATCGCGAATAGAGCGGGCATGTTGCTGGTAGTCTTGTGAACACTGCTTCTATGAGGCTCGTTGGTGAATACATTTATCTTATTATAGTGTATTAATTGGCAATCATACAATCTCACTATTCGTTCCAAATATGAACCTTATTAATAAGTACATATGTATGCAATATATGTAATGTACAAATGTGAATCTTTAAACACATTTAATTAACGAGAGACTTTATATAAAATCGTGCGTGTGAGTTTGGCCTTTCGCTTATTTCTGCCTCCAAACATTTTTTACTCGAACGCTTCACTAGCTGTTACTTACTGTTTTAAAAGTTTTGCTTATTTTCCCCACTCTGCTTGATTGAAAACGGTGTTTCATTAATTCAACCACTTTCTTTTCGTTTGGTATATACTTTACGATTAAGCCTGTGTATTTAGTACATGTATGTATATACAGTTAAAACATAAAAAAAAAATGAGGTTTCATTATTATTTTTCTTTTTTTCGTCACTACAGAAATATAATTAATATATAATCATATAAAATAGGTATTTATCTAAACTAGGTAAGTTAGGATTATAACAATGTAAATAAAGATATTTAGTATAGAAACTATAAAAAGAACGTTTCTGACAAAGTCGAAGGAAGAAGGAAGCTCATTATTTAATTTCAATTACAAACTTTTGATAAATAAACTGTGCAAATTCAGTACAGAAACGTAAAAGTGAGAATCCAAGCTACAAAACGCCTTAATAATACATTTCTGTTAAGATTACAAAATATAATTCGGCGAACAAAATTATTCATTAATTATCCTAAGAAATTAATGACATAAATTCTAATCTGTCTTATTACAGGAAATCTGTTAAAACGCGGTCTAAATGATCGTGGTTTAAACCATTCCTAAAGTAAATACTTGAAATAAACCTAACATTATTATAAATCCAGATCTAACGGATGGAATTTGATTTTTGAATTTAGACCACTAGGGGCATGTCTAACTTTAGACCATAGACGAATCACGGTTTAGAGATAAACTTCGTTTTGTAATAAGGTATACTTTGGTCAATGGTTTATTACTAGTGCTAAACCAGATTTAACTTTTTGTAATAAGACAGAATAAATTTAAATAAAAACTTTATGCATGAACAAAGTCATGTTTTTCTTCCTAACTAGACAATGAATCTCCAATCCCAGTATGCATTATACCTTTGACTTCGATATTCATATTCCCCCTATTCTTAACACGGCTGTGTGTGTAAAAATATTGTCAATCAATGCATTTGCCCATAGACAACTTGACGTGTTTTTTATTTTAGTAAGCTTGCATTTGCACACATTTTACGACTATAAGTTGCCCATTAAAAGATTACATGTACTTTGTCTTGTTTAGAGGTAAATATATGTATTCACCATAAAATTATTCGTGTTATTTAATAGCTTTTTCCATAGACAATTTAACGAGTCTTTGTTTTTATTAAGCTTGCATTTGAGTGCACTTTACGTATATAATTAATGGGTAAATGTACCACATAAGTATCTCATATAAGATGATTGTACATTTTGATTTATCCAACGATATATTCGTTTGGTTGGAGTGTCTAAATATATTAGTCCTATAAGTTACCCTCTTTAACACGTTCCTACCCAGAAAATCGGGTAAATGTACAGTTATTTCAAAAACCATTGTACTTTCATGGCTTTTCCACTAGACTATATTTATGTCCCTGGTTTTAGCTATATGTAATGACCCTATCAATTACTCTACATTTAACAGATAACCAGGTAAATCTACCACATACGTGTCTCTTACAAGACCATTGTGTATTATATACTTGTTTAATTCTGACGCGGTCATAATTTCTAAGTAAAAGTATTAAAATCACGGGATTTCACCACTTTTTACTTATTTTTATTGAGTACCCGATATTTCGGCAGTGTATTTTAATGGTTTTGTCTATGGACACATTCACGTATCTTTGTTTTTGATATTTAAATATTAGCCTTATAGTCTATTCCTAAATTTAACACTACTTTACCCAGATAATCGGGTAAACGTATTAGCGACCCGTTTGATCTGTTTATAAGACCATTGTATATTAATTGGTTTGTCCATAGACAAGTTGATGTTATAGATGTGTAGTACCTTAGTCTTTGGTATGTAGGCGTACTGACAGTGCGGTTTCTCGCATGGATGACCATCGTAGGTGAGGCTGGTGACTACAGGCTGCGAGAAGACCGTGATATTGTTTATGGGAGGGACGCCGTAGCCCCACCATTTGACGACGCTGGTCAGGTTAGTGCGATTTAGGTAGAACTCTATATGACTGTACTTCTTTTCGTCATATGTATCTGTAATATTAAGAAAAAATTAAATTAAAATGTATATAGTCTGTCTATAGTCTGTTTTTTTAATCTCGGAGGCTAAATTATAATTTGGTGTAAATGTCAAATTTTCAAATAATATTACCAACTGTAGCGGTGTAGTGCTGTACCTGCGATACCGATTTGTTTAATCATAATATTTTATATTAGAATATCACTTTTAAAGCTTTATACGAAGTTTCCAAAACTTATTTTCAAATTTTACGTACGATACTAGTGTTTCCATTACATTCCATTATTATATGACACAAAAATACAATTTTGTGGTTTAAGTAGGTAAAGTAATTTTTACGATAATAAACTACGAACTACTTTTTTTTCAAAAAGCTAAATATTTTAACTAAGTGTATCTTTAATGAAATATGACACCATACGAAGGTCAGTTATTTAATAAAAACGGCACAAACCTATTTAAAAAATTCAACAAGCGGGCAATATAGGTAATGTCAAATTTGTCTTCAAGACAAAAAAAAACAAACTATAGCGATTCTCGTCTATTTCACATGGGTGTACAGTGTATATAACAACACAGGTGGTTTTTTTTATGGATGATAATGGAATGGTGCACCCGCCTGCGCTAACGGTTTACTCTGGCGGGGCACCAGTGGAGGATGATAAGATGAACATGAGGTTAGATCAACTGATCTATGAATTTGTCACAATGGGCCATCTAGCCTATCGTGACAAAGTCGCCAGGAATTTATTGCGATGGTTTCCAGGGGGAATCGCGCAGAGGTCAACCTGACACGGTACATTGCTAGTAATGGGGTCATGAGGCCACATTACTAGCAATCCCTTCCCCCCCACACACAACACAGGTGTTAAAAAGGACCCCTCTGGCACACCGGCGGAGGGTCAGTGTTTAGATTCGTCGACATATACACACGATAATAAAAGACAGGTGAAAGGTATACCCTACATGGATATGCCTTTACAGAAAGTTGTTTTGGTAATTTAAGCTAGCACTATTTGATTGTACTGTTTAACGAAATACATGAGTTTATACATAATACGTACTGAGCCTGTCGCCGTCGTCCCAGTACAGCTCCCCGAAGGCCTTGTTCACATCGCTCGGTATTACGATCAGCTGCATCGGAGAGCTGCGAGTGTTGGACGTACTCACGGGGCCGTGTACGGGCGGTTCTTGTAGCGGCAATATAGCACCACCCTGTATACAAAATTATATATGTTATATCCTACTAATATTATAAAAGTCAAAGAGGGTACAGTATTCTACATTAAAAAAAATTAATTAAATATGCATCTTAATCCTTATTTGTGATGGATAAGCAAGATATTTATTACCGCTTCGGGACTTAATAACTTAACCAATTTGGATAAAATTAATATGTATAATATATTAGAAAGATTATTCATTATTCCGATCAATAAAAAGTCACGTCGACTTCCACATAATAACGCACGCACGCACTCAAGCGCGCACGCATGCAAACACGCACACACGCACACTGTGACACAAAACAAATATATATACATCTGATCACTGTATCTATGTTAAGTTTACTTGCTTTGGCTTCCACGACACACCTAGCCTAGTGTGAATAAAATATTACTTAAGTTTCCGTAATAAAAGTTTTCTTATTCGTCTTAATTCGATAAAATATAATAGTGTTTTTATAATGCTCATATATACCTTGACAGCGACAGTCTGATCTTCAGTAATGTTTCTGGTCGTGTTCTTGGCCAGGAAGGCGCCGTCGAGGATGTTGTACCACAGCTGTCCGCCCGGGAAGTACGGCGTTGCATAAGTGGCGCCTTCCCGCAGGATGGGGCACACCATCACGTACGGGCCCACCATGAACTGATCGTCTATATTATACACCGCCTCGTTTTCTGGCGTCCTGCGAAAGTGTACGATAACAATTTCCTAAACTTACGGTAACACAGTGAGGATGTGTAGGTTGGACTCCATTTTCCGCAATTGGCCTCTCATTCGGGCCGTTGTGCGTGAACACAGTGAGGAAATAGAGATCCTATCTGTAAGTTAGTCGGGCACGAGTAAACTTTCTGTGTACAAAATCGTTTCAGTGATAGTGATAGCAGCAAATAGCTGCCTTTACACGTACGCTCTTACACGTGCGTATACATTTTCACGCAGGTAAAAATGTATGTGTAATGTTATTTTGCTCTACTGTTCTTGCTCCATAACTTTATAATTAATACAAATTATCTATCTATGTTGCACAATTGTATCTGTGAATTGTGTAGTACATGTGCAAACAAGTTTTTAATATGGATATCACCGTAGTCAACATAAGGAGCTATAAGGGTACATTAAAATTTCTTAAGGGTCGGCAACGTATACGTGACACCCGTCTTTCAGGCATGCCTAGGCTATGGTAACCGTTTACCAGTAGATGGGCCGTATGCTTGTTTTCTACCATCGTAGTATGAAAAAAAGACATATTACTAACTCAAAGAAGAGGGGGCGCACGACGCTGTCTCCGAACACGTGCGCCCGCCAGAACAGCGTGTAGTACACCGGCAGCAGGCGGTACCGCAGGCGCAGGGACCTCACACTCGCCTCCACCACCGCGGGGCCCATGCTCACCGGGTCTTGAGGCTGACGGTAGTAACACACCATAACTATCAGTGCAACGAAATAATAGTAGTAATCCTGGACGATGACGCTGTGTGAAGTACACAACATCATCTAGTCTCAAACTAAGGAAAGCTTGTGATATGGGAACTAAATAACTTTACAAATACTTACATATCTCTATTTAGAAATACGTACATAATGTACATAGAAAATACCCCAACCGATCTAAACAATCATACTTATGAATACAAATGTTTGAACCGATATGTTTCAATCAAGGAATCTAGCCCGCGGCCATCGAGAGTAAAGCGGCGTGCTAAACCGCAACAAAACCGTATTTCTATCTGTTGCCTAGTACGCATAACTCTGCTTAGTTTGGGACTAGATGGCGCTTTATGAATTTTTCTAGAGTTATTATTATTATTGTGGGCTTAATTCTGAAGCTTATATATGTATGTGCAGTTTGGTTACCTTGGAGGTGTCTGAGTTGTGGTTCCTGGAGAACGGGTAGAACGCTCCGAGCTGCATCCAGCGGCGACACAGCTCCGGGGTGGCGTCTCCGGAGAACCCGCAGATGTCAGCGCCCATCAACGGCACCCCGAATATCGCGAAGTTCAGCAACTCTACAATATTACATATACAGCGTCCCAAGATTGTATTTATGATTTTTCTAAATAAAATAACATTCCATAGCGAGCGTATATATAATTAAATTTTCAAGAAGATATAAAGTTGACAATAATCAGTGACGCGCGCTGATTATACGACGTTATATTACCTATTTACCATGTATTAGAATTTTTCTATCACGCAAAAGCGTTACCGTCAGGTGGAGGGGGTAGACGATATATCGCGTTGTGAGAGAAAAAGACAGGCTGTGATTACGGAGAGTGGAGATATTCTCCGTTGATATTCCACTGGTACTAAGTGTCCCAGAATACTTTCCTTTTTTTATGTTTTTTAGATATGTATTAAACGGATATTATAAATAAACAGATTGTACTGTATATATAAATAAATAAATATACTATATAAATGTGTCTTATACTGAATACATAGATGAATAATCATCATCATCAATCATTAGTATAGTGGTAGTAGTATAGTATAATCATATACAATCGTATTAAACATACTTGGAGTTTTTTTAAACACATATTATTGTTTTTCAGTATAATCGTTTCTTCATCCACATAACTATTATTATTACATAGTATAAAACAAAGTCGCTCTCGCTGTCTGTCCGTCACTATGTATACTAAAATCTTTAAAACTACGCAACGGATTTAGAAAGTGGTTTTTTTAGTAGATAAAGTGATTCAAGAGGAAGGTTTATATATATAATACATGGACACCCGGGCGAAGTCGGGGCGCGTAGCTAGTATGAGTATAAACATCAAATAATCAATATATAAGTACTAAGTATTTACGAAATGTATTTTGGTTACATGATTAAAAAAAAAACCATATATACGTACCGGGTACGGTCATGCGCATGTCGTGCCACGCGCTGGAGATGTCTCCGCTCCAGTGTCCTGCGTGGTGGCCGAGTGCAGCGAACGACGACCGAGATATTATGAACGGACGCTTGCCGCGGATCTCGCTCAGGGCGCTGCAACATTACCACTTGTAATTTATAAATTCTATATAAACCAAATAGTGATCGGTGACTACCATTTTGTGTGGTGTGACAAGGATAGACAAGATAAAGAATGAATACATCAGAGGAAGTATGAAAGTGACTCCGATGTGGGAGAAATTAAAGAGTAATCTAAAGTCTATCGTAGTATGGATATGTAATGCGTAGGAATGAAGATCATATCCTAAGAACGGTGTTACATATGAATGTGGATGGTTATAAGGGTAGAGGAAGACCGAAAAAGAGATGGATGGACTGTGTGAAAGATGATTTGGTGAGAAAGGGAGTAAATAACGAGATGACTGCGAACAGGGATGAATGGAAGAGAAAAATATATTATGCTGACCCCAAATAAATGGGATAAGGAAGAAGCAGATGATGACTATATACTAGATAGACCATTATAATAATAAAATATTATGTCGAAAAAATAAAAAATATATTTAGGGGTCTAAAAATATATTTATATGTCTATTTTTTATACCCCTAAGTGGTAAGGGATATCCGTCCCTTACCACTTAGGGGTATAAAAAATAGACAGTAGCCGATTCTCAGACCTACTGAATATACATATAAAATTTCATAAAAATCGATCAAAGCCGTTCGGGAGGAGTATGGTAAGTAACATTCTGACACGAGAATTTATATATAAGAATATTTGAATAAATAATTTTCTATTGTATAATTAGTGCGCGTCAGACTCACTAGTCGGTGGCCCTGGCCTCGAGCAGCCCGTACAGATTGTGCAGGTCGCGGTGCAGGCCCGCGTGTTGCTTGGCGTCCGCACACAGCGAGTGCGTGGCGAGTGCGTCCGTGTGCGGCTTGTACGGCAGCACGACGGGCCCGCACTCGCCCACTGCGGTCCCGTCCACGAAGTTCGACGGCTCGTTCATATCCTAAGAAATTATTATTAATTATTATATTAATTACTATCAGTCATTAAAGACAGATTTTAATCTCAGTCGTATGTGGTAGATGTAGCTGGTATCACTGTCACTAGTAATATTATTTGAAAATTTGACATTTACCCTGTCAATTTAGTTTCTGATTAAAAAACAGACTATAAAGTATACTCCGATTGCTTTGCTACCTGGCAATTTGTATTGCAAAAACCTACTCAACGATTTCAAATGAATTCTGATGTACACACAGGTAGAGTATAAAATTATAATTAGACAAAAGTACTTATACTAAGTTTATTTGAATAAAAATTATTTCTCTTTCTAACTGAATTCTTATTAAATTATTTCTACTTCTAACTCAAGATTACTTACTATCCAGACGCCGTCGTATTTGACTTTCTTGTGGTACGCCGTCAACATTTCAACCCAATACGCGGTCGAGTTTGGATGAGTAAAGTCTGGGTATACAGTAAGTCCTTCATTCCACACCTATAATGAAAACCATTGCAGTAATCAATATTACCCACTTATTCATTAGTTTTACCCGTTTTACCCACCGTGTATTTTTTTATGTAACAACTACCTTTGTTCATCTAATTGGAATGGCAATGAAATATCTAAATGAAAACTGACAGTCTATTGGATAAGCAAGCGTGGTGCTTTTTAGGTAAATATTAGCCGACGCGATAAAATAAAAAAAAAATTTAGTGGTGGGTCACCCTTATCAGTGAGGAGTATGAAAAATAGATATTCGCAGACCTAACAAAATTCAATGAAAAACTACTAAATTTTATTAAAAAAAAGTTTGTTATGTGTTTCAGCAGCTTTTGTTAAATAAATAATACCTTTCCCATTAAAGGCTGGTTAGTGTTGTTTTTGATGAACACGTCCATCTCCATCCCACGGTCGTAAGGTGGATACGTTCCGGGCTTCTGAGAAGCACTGATGCCCGGATCTGAAACAAAATATCCCAACGATCCCAATAATTTGAAATTTAAAAATTATTTTTATTATTGTGATGTACCAAACTATTTTCTAAACTATTTCCTTTCTTTCTTTTCTTTTCAATGATAAATAAGACAGTTTTTTAATACAATAGATGATGACGGAACGATGCCCTTGCCTGCGCTAACGGTTTACGCTGTCCGGGCACATTTTATCATCCTCCACTGTCCGGGCATCCGGGTGGAGGATGATAAAATGAGCATGAGGTCAGGTCAATTAGCACATGTGGCAAATTCATAACATAACATGGTAAATTTCTAGCAACCATTAGTCCACATCACTAACAACCCCTTCACACCAAATTTTTTTTTTACTTATATACATAAAACAAACAATTATACTTCGATTCCTCGCATGGCGCAAACATTTGTATTCAAATGTTTGCGCCATGAGAGGAATCGAACCCGCGATCACCGGAAGTAAAGTGCTGTGCTAAACCGCTAGAAAACCAAGACCGATTATAATAATAAATTTACGCATGGAACCATAAAAAATACGTAATGTATTGCTGCCATCCATGTTTGTGAGGAGAAATAAATAAATTATAATGTCTCTAACAACACCATCGGCAATAACAGGCGTAACGATATGTTATGTTGTTTAAATAATTAATGAAACTTAATCGAAAAAATATACCTATACTTCATATTATAAATGACAGTGTGGCTCTCTGTCTGCCTTTTTGTTACCTTTTAATCACTAAGTGGCTGTACAGATTTTTATTAAATTCGGAGTGAAAATAATTTAGACTGTGAAGACATTATAGATTAAGTTAGTGCAGTAGGATGGCATTTTTTTTTATGGATAATAATGAAATGGTGCACCAGCCTGCACCAACGGTTTACGCTGGCGGGACACCAGTGTAGGATAATAGGATGAGCATGAGGTCAGGTCTAGCCCACAGTGACAAATTCACCAGGAATTTATCACGATGGTTTCCAGTGGGAACCGCGTGGAGGTCAACCTGACTTGGTACATTGCTAGCAATAGAGTAATTACTTCACATTAGTAACAATCCCTTTTCCCCTTGGTGCCATCCGAGGGGTGATATTTAATATTGATACATTAAACCTACCTATGATCATGACATAGTGCATTCCTTCCTTGTGTAGCTCGTCGACGAACTCTGGCAGGCCAGCGAAACGTTCCTCATCATATGTGAAGTCATTACGGTCTTTCATATAGTCGATGTCGTTCCATTGCACATCCTGTTGACAACTATTTATTTGGAATAACTGCGTCTTTACACGCATGCTCTTTCACGCGTGAAAGAATGAGCACGCAAATGTAGACATAGAGAACGAGTACGACATCGCGCGCCGCAATCTCGCGCCCTCCCGCGTCGTTCAAACGCGCGTACTTAAACTTCTTTTTTAATAATTCATTATCATTGTAAAATTACCGACATCTGACTGTGGAGCAAAAATATAGAGTTATTTATCCTGAATAATAATAGTAATAAAAATAAATAACTTTAAAAAAAAGTGAAATACATGCTATCACAAACGATTGTGTTGGCTTTTCCGCGTTAAATTGATAAAAACGCGTCGTGTAGAGGCAGCTAACAACAGCTTTCTTACAACTATTTTACAGTTTAGAAACTTTATCACATAAGGATGAAAGTTCGTGATGCTGTTCATGATATTCATGTATTGTTCATGAATATCACAAGGCGACGTTTAGCACTCACTATCAGGTGAGCCGCCAGCTTGTTTGCAGCAATTCCAGCTACTTAAAAAAAGTTTTATAAATCTTATATATTAGCTAAGTTATTTATACTTACGAAAGGTATGCCTGCATCACGATTTTTCTTCCATACATCACGTGTTGCGTTTAATGTCAAATAATTGAACCTGAAATAGAATAACGACGTTGTTACATCTTCCACCTCAAAATAGTAAAATTACCCAAAATTCTTAAAAATGTAATTCTGAACAATTCATTTTAAAAAGCAACACGCAAGTTTCTTTCTTTTCTTCTTGTGATGAGTATGAATTCCAAATGAGTGGAGAAATTTAAAACAATATCATCCTTATCCCCCGGGGTCGGTGCAAAAGTTTTTCTCTTCCATTTATCCCTGTTGTTTATTTTATTATATATATATATATGATCTCGTTATGTATCCTTTCTTTTTACAGCATCTTTCACACAATCCATCCATCTCTTTTTACTCGTTCCTCTGCCCTTAGAACCATCCACATTCATATATAATACTTTCTTTAAAATATTATCTTCATTCCTAGGCATTATATGCCTATACACATGATGGATGATTAATCTTCAACCTTTTTGACACCGGCGCTACTTTCATACTCCCTCTAATGTATTTATTATCTTGACCTTTCTTGTCATACCATACATATATCTCAAGATTTACAATTCAGTTGCATGCAGTCGTCTTTCATCCGTCGCCTTTATGGGCCAGCACTCTGATCCATACAAAACAGCAGGCCGGATTATGAAATAAATAAATAACACTGGACAATTAACATAGCGCCATCTAGTCCCACAGTTTTGTTTTTTTTTTAATTTATATTGTCAATATGTTTTTTAATTACTGTGAAAATAGTTTTTTTATTAGTTTATTTAATAAATATGTATATAGTAGAAGATATTATTTTGACTACATCAAAATCTCCTACTCAACGTAACATAGATTGGTTATTGTTGTATTATTAGCATTTTATAATTTGTATTAGTTTCTAAGCAATCAGACATTTTATTACCTTGTACAGTTATATGTTAGTTTAGTTTAGTTAGTTTTAGCACAGATAACATAATATTAGTTAGTTGTATGTTTATACACTTAGGTGATATTTGTATTTAAATTTAGATACATTTCTATTGACTTAAAACTACACCATATAGGTCCGTATATTACAACAATATACAAAGAAATTATGAACTTAGAAGCACACAAAATTTGATAGTATTTATTCAGTGATTTGTTCAACGACTAATGGATTCTTTTTTGTGTTTTCCTTCAATCAATCAAAACAGACGTCCATCGCAGGCAATGTTCAACTTTTTATTTATACTCACACATTTTTTACATCTCTACAAACATCACATCACAAAAGCAATGACTAATACCAACTCTCAGGGTCAAATCAAATCAGATAGATTTGTATGTGGCGCGGCGTTTGATCGACGTCTGATATCCGAAAGCATTCGGACATTTTTCTGTTATACTAAGTACTTAACGAAATTTGTTCCTCGGTCAACTTACGCCACCCGCTGGTCAAATATGACGGTTCACACTTGAAGTTGGCTCAAGTTGGGGCAAAGGTCACGTCCTCTCACTCAAATCTCGACCAAGAGCGCTTCGGTCTGAATTGGATCGTGACAACGAAGAGATACTTATCGTGATTTTCTGGCCAATTCCAATGCATCGGTCTGTTGTTACGGACGGGTAATGGGAGCATGGGAACACAGTCGAACTTGGAACTAACTAAATTATTGTAAGTCAAATAAGGAGATGTTCGTAGCGGTGATTGGGGTTAGGCGTAGTTTTGTTTGTTCGTATAATTTTGTCGTATGATCAAGGGTTCTAACCACCATCGTGAAAAATGAAAGGGCTCAAAACTTCAATTTAGCATTGCAATATGTAGAAAATCTCACGTAGTATATGCATCATATTTTCTTCTTCTTCTTATAGTAATTTAGGTAGTTTACTATACGAAGAAGAAAAAAGTATGAAGAGTTATGATTACTGTATAATTTTGGGATTTTACTAGAGTTGGGAGTGAATTCCATGATAAGGACACATGTGATCTTCAGGGGTACATAGACCGCTTTCATTAGTAAAATAAACCGATTGATGGTAACAGTATACCAAAGTATATTAATTAATTACATTATAATGATAAGAATGAGTCATGTCTATATTCCACAAACGGTTCATTATTTTATACTACAAACTCATTTTTATTGCAGTAGCCGTCCCTCTTATTAAACAATAACACAGTTGTTACAGTCAATAAACTGGAAACAGTGGGTTCTTTGATTTTAGCCTTTGATAAAATCATGTCCTCCATAGACATTCAATAGTTGTGTATTGCAAAAATAATATGTATAAAAAGTATTATTTCTAATACTATTCTTCCAAATATTTTAATGTTATAAATTCGATTATTCCTATGTGTATTTAACTTGTAAGTTTGTTACCCTTCTACTAAAATGATTCTATTAAATTTGACGTGAAAATAGACTCTATCACTAAGACGGACGTATGATATATTTTATCTAAAACAGTACTGTGGGGTACTCTTATTTATTATGTAGAATATGTTTTGTATATTTAAAACTGGATTATGTATCCAAAGTGTATAAACTAAAGTAGCTGTACAGTATCCATAAAATAAAACACAATTTGGACAAACAGACAAAAAAAAACAGAGAGAGCCCATTTAAATATCCGTCTATGTAACCTTCAAAAACCTTTTTTGCTAGTAATTATGATTAAATTTTTATTGCGTAACTTCACAAATATTTATTCACCATTACGTTACTACGCAACCCTTTCTTTGGATCAAAAAGGCAGCGTAACTTCAATCGTTTTCTTTGTATAATACATATGAATGTAATGTACAAAGATTATATTACATATATCATAATAATAATTTGAGTACAAATAAACGTTTTCTTTGTATCCTTGTTAAATTACGCAAAAGACGCATGAAAATGTACACGTATGTAGAAAATTACGCACGAAAAGTTAAAAGGCAACGAAATATTACCTTTTCGTCTGTTATTTTTGTGAATAAAACAGTTCGATAAAGGAAAATAAATTGGGTTATGGGAATCGGGACCGGGGTAAGTCACATCGAAAACACTGTCACGAACCGACAAAAAATGTGAGAAACGACTTCATTATACAATGATTGGTCACTGACCATGACTGAATGTTATCATCGATGCTTGCAAGGATGTACTTTCTATACCTACAGTATTGATTGATTTGATTCTATTATGAAATGATGAAAATCGTTAACTGCGAATGGAACTTGTTTAGTTAATTTCTAATTTATATTTTATGTATAGGTGACTTAGCAGACAAGCAGAGCTTGTATTATATGTACTAGAAAACCGATATAAATACATAGATTTTTTTTGTAAACACATACATAGAAAACATCAGATCAATACGATCATAAGTATGAACTTGCACTGTACAAACATTTGTAATGTTTGAACGGTGCAAGGAATCGAACCCGCGGCCATCGGAAGTAAAACGGTGTGCTAAACCACTAGACTACCGAGGCCGATTTTTGAATTAGTATAGTTATTTCGGTTGTTAGTATTATAGTTATAGTTAGTATTAGTAGTACATAAGTGGAATGATAACCTGCAGAGGTGGAATCCTAGCGCCCAGTAGGGCGGCAGCGCGGGGCGGCCCAGCGCGGCGGTGTAGTGTCGCAGCACGGCGGCGGGCGCGGGGCCGCCCAGCACCACCACCTCGAGGACGCCGCCCGTCGCACGGAACGTGATGCCGGGCGCCGGCTGCACCACCACGTCTGTCGATACCATCCTCGCTTTACTCCACGCATTTTAAAAAATATTTTTAGAACAAACTGTTCGCTGTTAGGATGACACGAGGATGCACACAAGACATTCGGGAGTATCCGGAAGAGGTTGGAGTGCCGCCCGGCAGCCGAAGCCGTATATGATTCGTCCGCTGCCCGCAGACGAAAGCGTGCAGCGGGGATAAGGAGTAGATATTCCACGGGCCACATATCATATACTTATGGCCACGAGTCATTACAGGTTGTCCCCACGTTTATATCTATTTTTGAGATAAAAAATAGTTTATGTGCCTACTCGTCATATAATATAACAGGTAAAACTTCATTAAAAATCGTTAGATATTAGTTATTAATCCCTTAGATTATAGAAGGTAACAAACTAAACCTCAACAACATACATAGACATACAAACACCTTATTATATTATATTTATATAGATATCTTGTTCATATAATTAAGACACTAAAAAAGGAGTATGTTTTATTGGTAGACTTTATACAAAGTTGTCTATGTCAATCTATATATTCTTTATTGCACTTATATATAGTAAGAAACAACATATTTATAAATAAAAATGTGAGCAAGGGTGGGCTTATCTCTGAAAGAGATCTATGTACCTCTGTCTCATCTATTTCTGTCGCTAAGTTATTTTGTAAGCTATATATTTATTTTAATGTTGAGATACGTCAGTGGAATTACAATGGTAGTATTAACAATAAAAAAAATGTACCCTCCGTAAATATAAAGAAAACAATAAGTAAACTACACACCCATAGCGTTAGAGTTGAGTAGGAACACTCCGTGTGTATTCCCACCAGGTTCTATTCCCATGTAAAATGGATGAGTGCCATATAAGTTAGCCTGCAATATTATATATTTTTATTAATTACATGTACGTTCTTTCTCATAAAAATTTTAAATTAGTATAATTTAAAAAGTGAAGATATATGTATATATAGTAGATATAGAACCTTAGTTAAGTCCATTTTGTAACTGTTTTTTGCACAATAAACTTATTATTATTACTGTGGTATAACTTACGTTCTCAACAGGTTTCCTATCACGATTGTACAACGCGAATGTGTTCCAATTCATATCCACCATAAACCTGGCCCGCCTCTCACCCAGCCCGTATATATGATTAGTCGGCAGCACGGCAGACAGCTGCAGCATCATATCCGAGAGGATCAGACCACCCACGTCTTCTGTGTCGAATCTGAAATACACATTTTATGCAATTAAAATGACAAAGAAATTTTTGGTGCATCACATAATGAGTAACAATCTTTGTCTGTACTATTATTGTGTACTAGAAGTGCCCGCGATTTCACCTGCATTAAATTTCAATGAAAAATATTGTGTGTTATTCTGATGCATAAGCTATATTACTGTAAAGTTTCATCAAAATCTGTTCAGTATTCTTTCACGTAAATAATAACCAACATCCATACTTACAAACTTTCGCTTTTATAATATTATTAAGTATAAATTTATTTAAGCTATACAATTAGAAAAAAATAAATTTCAGGTTTACAACATAAAAAGGAAAAATATAACAATTGGTTGGTGGGGGCCGGGCCCGGGCCACAAACGTATTAATATCTTATAGACTAACATACATATGAAATAATAAGGAAATATAAATAAGGGGAGAGTGTTATTAATAATAGGGACTAGTGATCCTATTACTAGTATTATGTTAAGTAGAAGTTCATGTGCACCCTCCTGGAAACCATCAAAGCTAATCACAGTGGACTAATTGACCTGACATCATAACCTGGTGATCCATTACTAGTCCCCCGCCAGTGTACCACAAGCGTAGACGAGAGCACCATTCTATCATCATCCATCAGAAACAAATGTCTACAGCCCTAGCCAAAAGTAATTGCCACCCTAAAAATCCAATTTCATATCTATTGACCTGTACTGGGTGACTATAAACACAATAGAGGTATATCATTTCCAGGTATGTCGAATTTTAGGGATTTTTTTTCGATTACTACGATTCATCACACTGGTATTTAAACACTGTGAACTGTGTGAGTAAGACAAATCCAATATTGTCTACTAAGCACTGCCGTGTCTAAACTGCGTCACCCCACCTTACACTTTCTTATTCTCATTTAGTATATAAGATCAATATTTTTATCTATATATTGTCAGTCAATTATCATTTGTAATATATTTCGTCTCAACTAACAACATAGTTTCATTTAACCTGCAACAGGTACTTTAACAAAAATAAAAAGTTCGTCTATTAAAATATTCACTACATGACTTACGTATGGTCATTATTATTATTATTCTTCTCTCTATTGTCTCAACTCTATTGTTATTATTATTCTTCTCTCTATCGTCTCAACTCTCTATTATTATTATTCTTCTTCTTCTTCTTCCAAATATACAAATACACATGCATCAACTTAAACCTAATCTTTTTAAACATTACTTACATAACGACATTGTCGCTGTTCCTTATAACTTTAAATCCAATACCGGAGCCATCTTCGGGTATTTTCACTCTCAGCTTCATGTCTGACAATGGTTTTGGCACCATAGCGATTTCAGGATACGGAGGTTCGTATCTGGTGTGCTCTGCATCGTAAATCTGCAAATAATATACTTAATTATAATTTGAGAGCCTTCACGATCTACCAGTTTAGTAATAATAACTTCATTTTCTCAAAAAAACAGCCTTAAAGATGACAATTAAAGGATAAGATCATATGATTGCAATAGCAATGGCGTGCAAGTTATTATTTATATTTTGTATAATGCACACCACCTCACTTCCGACGGTCGCAACTTCGATCCCTCGCACGGTACAAACATTTGTATTCATGAGTATCATTGTTTGTATGATTGTTTGGTCTCAGTGTTTTCTATGAATAATATATATGTATTAACAAATTAGTCACTCAGAGGGCAATGGAGAGGGCTATGCTCGGAGTTACTCTGCGTGATCGAATCAGAAATGAGGAGATCCGCAAAAGAACCAGAGTGACCGACATAGCCCGAAGAATTGCGACTCTGAAGTGGCAATGGGCAGGGCACATAGCTCGTAGGACAGATGGCCGTTGGGGCAGTAAAGTCCTAGAGTGGCGACCACGGACCGGAAGACGCAGCGTGTAAGGTGGACCGACGATCTGGTCAAGATCGCTTGAAGGCATTGGATGCAAGCACCGCAGGACCGATCGTCGTGGAGATCTTTGGGGAAGCCTATGTCCAGCAGTGGACGTCTTCCGGGCTGCGATGATGATGATTAACAAAAAAAATCTATGTATTTGTATCAATTGTCTAGTACCGATAACTCACATAGCGTCAACTACTCCTAAGTTAAGCAGAGCTTGTAATATAGGGACTAGATGGATAGAAATGTTGTTGTCTGTCACAATTCTTTTTTAGACACTAAATTGTTCGGTATAACAAAAATATAATAAAATTCTTAATAGAAAATACAATGTAAATCCGAAATATAAAACTATATGGCCAGTACGTTCGCAATAAGAAATACATAGATACCTTTTTTGTGTAAAGACATGTGTAAATATATAACATACATAATACCCAATAACATACATAATACCCAATAACATACATGCATCAAAGAATATATGATCGCTTACCTTAATTTTTACCACGTCATCCGACAAATATTTGATGTCAATCCGGGCAATTTCGAAATCACCCGGATAGCCGGATGGGCGGGCCTTCTCGTAGTATACCGTGGTGGAATGTTTGTCCTCTGTCATATTGAGGAACCGGAACGTGTCGTACTGAGGCGGGTAGAAACAGTATGGGATGCCGTCGTGCTGCTCTATTGTCACAGGATTCCAGCAGCAGCCTATAATTGTAAAGTCATTTTATTGATTACTAGCTACGCCCGCTAATTCATATGCGTGGAATTCGTATCTTGGATAGCACAAAATATTTAATAATCTTTCTAGTTCAAAAATGACATTTTATTTTACAATTTCATTTCCATACAAATTTTGAATTTCATATTTATTTATATTGAACAGCATAAAAAATAAGTTCCATGCATTTACCTTTAAAAAGAACCCCTTACAGCCCTTTTTTCGTATTAAATAGCCTAGTTCCTTTCTCAGGGTCTAGACTATCTGTGTACCACATTTCATTTACACAATTTATATAAATCGGTTTAGTAGTTTTAGCGTAAAAGCGCGACAGACAGACAGTTACTTTCCCATTTATAATATTAGTAAGGATAGTAGTCTAGTATAGTAGACTAGTAGCGCCCCCAATCAACTTTTTTACGATTTTTTATTCCGTTAATAAAAAATATTTATATGTATGTTAGAATAGAATATAAGAGAAAATCATTTATTCAAATAAACATACATTGAAGCGCTTTTGAATAGTCATCACTTTTTTTTTAATCTACTGCTCATTCGGAAAGCTTTCTGATGAGACAGCTTTCCGAATGAGGTATTACACGCAAGGTTCTTGCTAATTTTTCTTGATGACGAGAAGAATTAGCAGGAAACTTTTAAATGTCGCTCTTCTGAATAATTTAATTGTAGCTTTACATTTGTTAACTTGACACAACCAACCTCTGTGAACGCAGTCCTTCTCGTTAGCAGTGCCTTGTGGGAAGCAGTCGAATCTCATGCTGTCGGTTACCTTCTCGCACATTTCCTTCAATATTTCAGGGGTGCGGTCCATGTAACTCTTCTTATTGTAGTCTCTTCGCCTTGTAGGTTCTGTGGCGTTACCTTTATTCTTTGTACTTAGGTTATTGTGATCGTGGTACCGGTGCTCTGGTAGTATCTGTTGAAGGTAATAATATTAACAGAGGAACTCACACAGCGCTAACTAGTCCTAAACTAAAACTAGAAAGAGTCTATATTATGAGTACTATGCTACTGAATTAAGTACAGTTCTTTGTACATACAATCATACTCAATAATGCAAATGTTTGTACGTAGCTGGAATAAAATCATCAATGATTGTAAGTAAGGCAGTTACAGACTAAAATGGTGATGAACTACACCAACCGAAAGTATTAACATCAGAACGACATTATATCCCAAGAATGCTTACAGGCCATCGAAATACAGAAATATTAAATTTCAATCGGGATGACGGTCGTAGAGTCTCTAATGTCTGGACTACAGTGATTAGTTTAATCAAACAAAAACAAAAAAACGCGACCAGAAAGTGTATTAAGCGTACGTGCAAATATTGTGAGTATAGTTTGCCGAGATGAATATCGAGCGAGTTACAATAGTGGCAACAAAGGAAGATGTGTGAAGATAGACGCATATGTCTGCCCATAAAAGATTTTGTTTACCATCTACCCGCTGCTTTTCAGATTACCCGTGATCATGGCGGTTGAGACACTGTCGATATATCGTGAACTCAATAAAAATATAACGTGGTAAGGCATGATTTTTAGTAATCATACTTATATATTATAGCCTTACTTCCGATGGTCGCGGATTCGTTTCGCACGGCACAAACATTTATATTCATGAGTAAGATTGTTGGTATCGATCTGGGTGTTTTCTATGTATAATACTTATGTATTATGAAAACAAAACTATATCTATGTATTTGTATCACTTATCTAGTACCCATAACACAAGCGTTAGCTAGCTTAACTTGGACCTAGATGGCGCTGTTTGAATTGTCCTGAGATTTTATTATTTATTATATGTATACAATGATGATGTTAATAACAAACAATAAAAGGAAAAATTTACATAATTATATACCTTTTCGTATGTAAGTGGTGTCGGTGGTTTCTTTATATTGTCGGGGTGTGCACGCTCCCACAACTTTCTGCAATAGATCGTTTGTATACATAAACAGACATGTTACATCTATTATTATAACAATCAATTTACATTCAATTGCATTGTGTTAATAATTTCCTTATAGAATATTTCTTTACACACATATATTCTGTGTAGAAACTCATTAACACAATAGTAAATTTCACTGTAGACTGAAGTAAATCATATGTGTGAGTAACTCTGTTTACTGGTTCAAATTCGAAACTCAAACACAAAAAATTTCATTACTTTTAATTTTTTTTCGGTGTCTTCTGCACGTCGCAATCCTTAGTGTCAATTTTGGAAGGATACAATTAGATTTAGTTAAGAAGAACTAGCAAGAAACCCAACTAGTACATTTGTCTTTTTTTTATTGATTGAGGTGTGAGTTCAGGTGGTGAAATTACAGGATAAGAGGTATAATACCTTAGTCCCCTGGAATAGCAATGCATGAATGGTATCATTGCGTCACATTAGAATGAGACCGTTTAGTGCTCTTCATGAGTTAGGCACCGGTTGCCACTTTCATCATGTGAGGGAACAGCTTGATTACATTTGAATAAAAAATTCTACAGAAGATTAATTCCATAAGACATGGAAAAATGCAACACAATATAACCAGTCTATTGGTAACCTCTGTATCATCACAAGTGAGAGTATCTTATTAATATTACAAATGTGAAAGTTTGTGAGTATGGATGGATGTTTGTTACTCTTTCACACAAAAACTACTGAACAGATTTTGATGGAACTGTACAGTAATATAACTTATATATCAGAATAACATATAGGCTATAATTTAAAAAGATATGTGAATTGGGCGAAATATAATGTTCAATGTCAAGTAAGTGTAATGCAGAGGAAGTTGCACGGGTCAGCTAATACCTATATAGGTATACCTATCACTCTGTTTTACTCAACCATATGATTAATGTGATAACTATTATATCATTAAAATACAAACTATGTAGTTTAAAATAACTGTTTGAAGCAATGAGTGAGTTTGACTCATACATTATCAGTTTCTACATATTTTTTATATGTACATATAATTATGATCATACATAAGTCATGCAGTGAATATTTTAATAGACTACCTTTTTAATTTCTGTTAAAGTACCGACATAATAAATAAATATACATGAAAGTCTTCTTTGTTTTGCAGTGGATTGGCCATTCAATCGGTTAAAAATGTACAGTTTCAATTCCTGTAAACAGTGTGTTTTATACTACAATGGGTAACTAAAGCTGCAGTAGCAGGCTCTATCAGATTTAGCTGGTCAGGGAGAGAAACATGAGGGGAGATGGTGAGTGTCGACATATGTCAGTAAAGGGTCCCATAAATCTACACCTGAGTCAAGTCTCAGGAACTACTTGGAGTTTCTTTCTCTATCACATAATGGCCTTGGCACCCACACTGTGAATACATGAACGTTTAGTCCACAGGTTACCTGTAATGCTCCTCTCCCCAGGCTCCACCCATTGCACCAGTTGCCGCCCACCAAGCACCCACACAGAGAATGCACAGCAGCGCGACGCCAAGCACACCTGACATGCCAGGGAAATTGTCCCAGGCACGCTGGAATATGTTGCGGCTCTCAGAAAACCGCTGGTACCTGAGTATGGGCAAATTTACAAATATGAACTTTGATACATATATAGGTATACTTTAAGGATGTTATGGATATGAAATTTCAGATACGGATAGGTTTCGGTAATAGGAATGATTATTATACCGGATACGGATATGAAATTATTTCATATCCGTATCCGGTTATGGATATTAATTTCAAAAGTCAATTACAAATTGCTAATAAAATGGTTACATAACATATCTCAATTAGCCTCCGCCCCTATCCAATATTATCCGAAACTTTTATTTCGGATTCAGTTATGATTATGGTTACGGAGCTACTTAACATACCCTGATATACTTGTATAGAGAGCGAGCTCAGGTTCGATCAAAACAAAAAAAGAAAATATATTACCATCATTTACAAGGATATAAACATAGAAAATAAATTCTATGTTTATATGATGTTTCTTTTGAATGAGATATTTATTTGCATCACCACCAAAATACTATATGCACTACTTTAGAACTGATTAACAGATACAATAAAATAATTAAAGAAGCAATAGTAAGAAATTATATTAAATTCTTACCTATGTTCCCTGGAGGTTGATTCCCCTTCATTCCTGGGCTTTGGTATTACGCCACTAAAGAGCGGACCACGGGTGGACTTTCCATTGAACCTCCCAAATGGAGCAAATGAGTTTGACAGTCTCCGTTTGAATGGGGCATTCTTGGGACCGTTCAGGGATGTCTCTCTCTCTGTCTGACGTTCCAAGTCTCTGCTCGACGATTCCCCTTCATTATCACGATATTTTTCTGCTTTATCATTTTCATAACAAAGCCGATAATTTATGTTATCGTTCAAAGTTAACAAGTCGGTTTTAGAATTGGGCGATTTGTCACAAAAATCTTCAAAGGAAACAATCTCATAATCCTCGTCGTCGTCCTTCGATTTATCTGTTTTGTAAGGTATTTTCGGCATATTGCTTGCCTTTTACCAAAAAATATGTTAACGATTTTATGAAATCATTTTAAGAAGACACCCATTGTTGTTTCAAAGAAAATAAATAGATGTTATTATTATTTATCAACATGAAATGGGATTAGAAGTCTATGTAATAATATCTTAATTCTACTGTGTTACTTTTCTTTAATCGCAAAAGCCCAAAATAACAAACACAACCGTCTTATTACGGAGAAAGAAAAATATAATAAATATTTTTATATTTTGTTCACTTGAATTGCTTTGACAAATTTGAAAAATTTATGACAGTTTACTATTTTGACAATTCTGTCTGTACAGTCCACAAACTATATAGAGAATCTGTTAGTTTTTGGCAGAGATCAGAAAGGTTTGTGTGTGGTACTCTGTGACAAACAACGCTTGCTTTGAACGCTCTCTGTAAAATTCTACATGTTTTTTTCTCTTCCGGTATTTTTCAGATAGAAGTTTTTATTATTAATAAAATCTTTGATTTATAACAACAGTTACACAGTGAAGATTTCTACATTTCTCCTCATTACCATTCGCAATTTCATATTACCTAAACATATAAGTGTCAACTTTATTATATAGTATACCTATAGCAATAAAAATTAATAGAAAATATGAGTAAGTCTCGTTACTATTACACTTTATTTTTTTAATTTTAATTTTACAGTTTTTCAAATCAGGAATACTTACTACTTTGCTGTCCCACCGGTGCATTGCTTTTTTTATAACCTCAATCAATCGTGTTTATTTTTAGCGATGGACATACGACCCAATCATACAATTTATATAAATAATTTAAACGAGAAAATTAAAAAGGAGGAATTGAAAAAATCTCTGTATGCTATTTTCTCGCAATTTGGCCAAATATTGGATATAGTGGCTTTGAAAACACTCAAGATGAAAGGACAAGCTTTTGTTATATTTAAAGAAATATCAAGTGCTACAGTTGCACTGAGAAGTATGCAAGGCTTCCCGTTCTATGACAAACCAATGGTGAGTATTGTAGTTGTTAGTTACATTACAGTGATTGTGCATTATTATTCATAGATTTCATTGGCGGAAGTAAAAGAAACACATAAACAGACCGCACCAACTATAATGGTTGATTTGAAAGTCCACCTGTCTGTACCTTTCAAGACTAAACAGTTGAACAAATCAGAGTAAACTTGATATGAAGATCATTTATTTGAACGCCACACTTCCTTTTACTCTGTATATTTAATTCCTATATGAAATAACTATAAATATGAAATTCTGCCTGTCTGTTCATTTCAAAACTAAACAGTTGAATGGATCAGAGTGAACTTGATGTGAAGATCATTTATTAAAACTCCATACTTCATTTTACAGGGTATATTTAATCCCTAAGGTGCAGGGAGCAAAACCATGTCTGTCTCACAATTTAATTTATGATAATGTTATCAATGTTTCCTTCACTGGAGAATCAATTAGAAATATAATTTCTATATGACATTTGTTTTGTATTCGGCAGATTTAAGTTTTTAGTATATTACCACAATGTAATATTTCTAATATTATTATTATAGTCTTTTATTCATACATAACCTTTTTTTGGCTGTTTACACTATATCTAATATTTCTTGGTTGTCTGCTTGCTTTCAAGCAAAGGCCTCTAATATTTTCCATTCTGTTCTGTCTTGAGTGATTCTGGTCAATAGTTTTCCTTGTATAAACTGTTCCATACTATTTATTCCTCATTCCTCACAGGATGTACAGTTCTCTCACATCAACAGTCCCACAACAAATTTGTTAAAGGCTTGGTGAGCCAATTGCAAGATACAAAAAGAAAAAGAAAATATATGTATAATAATTTGTCTGTAAATCATTTAATTGCAGAGAATCCAATATTCAAAGTCAGATAGTGATGTCATTGCAAAAGTGAAGGGTACATTCCAGGAAAGGCCGAAACGTCCAAAACTTCCAAAAAGTGGAGATGATGCCAAGAAGAAGAAGAATAAAGAAGCTGGACGGCATGCTGCACATGGTGTTGGTCAGCCTAGTCTACTCAACAATGTCAATGTTGAACAGCCACCAAATCAAATCCTATTCCTCACCAATCTACCAGATGAAACATCAGAGATGATGTTGTCTATGCTTTTTAACCAGTAAGTTATACCAACATGTTTTATTCTTCATATAGTAATTGTCAGTAATGAGTTGGTACCATAGTTAAATGAACTTTCATTAACTCTTAGTTGACCTACAGAAGTTTGTTTCAGTCACATTATCCTATTATTGCAAAGAAAATATATTAGCTTAGTATCAACAGGTCTGAATAGTCATAGCATCATGAGTAGCCTTACTCAATAAATTAGCTATCCGATATTAAAATAGTTATTCAATATGACTATACATAAACATGAAATAAAATGGTCCTTAAGATTACTGCATTCAACCAAACAAATAAATTAGTATAAATAAATTATTAATTTTGGTACTATATTAATTAAACATGTATTCCTTTACAGATTCCCTGGTTTCAAAGAAGTCAGACTTGTTCCAAACCGACATGATATTGCTTTTGTTGAGTTTGCTAATGAAATGCAATCTGCTGCTGCTAAGGAAGCACTCCAAGGGTTCAAGATCACTCCCACTCATGCTATGAAGATAACCTTCGCCAAAAAATAAAATATTTTTTTATTGTAATTACATAAGTAATAATAAACTTTAAGAACCAATGTGAGATCTGTTTGAAGCATTGCACTACGCTTGAATGGCTCTCTTCGGCTGTGACTAGTTAATTTATGCATAAAAAATGAGTTTGTTTCACCAAAATGTCTGCAATACCCAAAAGGGACTTTTTTATACTATTTAAGAATGATTCCTATCCTTAAATAGTATAAAAAGGTCCCTCTCCGTTTTTAGAGTAAAAAAAAGTTAAAATTACTGACATTTTAAAACAGTCTCTTCTCTTCACTACGATTTTGATAATTTCTTATGTTGTTGATTTATGCATAATGGCGGGAATTAGAATGGTGATTTACGATGTTCTTTCCAGAATAAGTTGAAAATTAAGTATAAAATAAATTCATATCAGTTTTGAAAAGAACAAATGAATGATAGAGCTGCATAGATAAAAATGAAAGAAAGAAAGAAAGAAAAGTTTTTTCCAATGACAACAATTATCGTCATATTTCAATCAATTTTCACAAAATGTTAAAGGTGTTATGGATATGAAATGATGGGATTCGTATATAGGAATGATTATTATACCGGATTATTTAAGGAATTTCGAAAGTGAAATAAAAATAGCTAATAAAATGGCTCCATAACATGTCTCAATCTACCAATCCTATCGTATATTATCCGAAACTTATTTCGGATTCGGTTACAGTTACGAATATTTTTTTATATAGTAGCAATGGGGATTACTAGTTCCCATTTCTAACAATCCCCTTCCCCCCGATAGTTTCGGTTACGGTTACGGGGCTCCCTACATCCCTGGATTAGAGCGTTTGAGATTATCGCAAATATACAGTATAACACGCCGATGGGGGAGAGAGATTGTTAGTAATATGGACTAATGGTCTCTACACGGTTCCCTCTAGAAACCATCGTGATAAATTTCCTGATCAATTTATTACGATGGGGCCTGGCCTTATCTCCAGTGGTACACCGCCAACGCAAATGGGTGGATCATTCGGCAATTTGCTTTATATATATACTAGGGAACCGTCCCGGCTTCGTATGGATGCATTACAAATCTTTGAATTTCAGAGAGAAATTTGTTCTTTCTTTGTTCTATGCTATAACACGCACTTTAAATGTTGATGAAAATTGCATTAAAATCCGTTACATGATTAAAAAGATATAAGCGAACAGTCAGCGGCGAGGACTATGTTTTATACTAATTACGTTTGTTGATATAAAGCAAAGAGTAAAGTAAATATAACAAAAGTAAGTAAAGATAAAGATGTAGCATAGTAGTTTCTTGTTCAGTGATTATTTGTTTTTTTTTTAATCTGTTTCCGAACGATGTACGTACGACAGATGAGTATATATAATCCAACTGAATATAGTATGTAATGGACTTATTTAGATCACGCTGTTTGTCAAATTCAATAGAAAGAGATAACAATAGGATTGCTATACGTGCTAAACAAGGAAAATGAAATGTACTTTAATACACCTAAATTTAACAACCTATTCGTTTTTATTTTTAGTGATTGCGAAACTGTCAAACTTGTCTCGAATTAATATGATCTAATTTTTAATTTTATTTATTTTCTTAGTTAAAACATTTTTTCTTCATTTCTTGTATTCAAGACCATATATACAGACTTTGTCTCCACTCTTTATGTGATATATCAGCCTGTATAATATTTGTTTATTTATAAAACATGGAAGATATATTTCAGTGGTGTCGAGAAGGAAATGCCTTGCAAGTGAGAGTTTGGCTGGATGATACCGAACATGATATGAATCTGGGGTGAGTTTATATACCAAAAATATAGACTTTTTTTACCATATGCTGTTTGGTATAGCCATTATAGGCGTAGTCTATACGCCCACAGTGACTTCATGGTCAACTTGCAACTATGTCAATCAGTACGTAAGATTTGCCGTAATATTTTTTATATTTAATTATTATTTTTGTACAAACCTTTCTTCGTAGTTGTCTTGTAGCGGTTTTCCGTTCGATATTTGTGTTATTTTTAAGCTTTACTTTCCTTAAGATTACAATTTTACATTATACATTTAAAGTTTAATTAATTTGGTTTCTTTATATATGATCCCATGTGGGTAAAAGTTACTCCATGATTTTCTATTTGTTGAAAGTTGTGGTAAGACAGTGAAATTTATAGGCAAATTGGAATTCACCTACAGTAACAATGGCATTTATTTTTGTCCTAGGAGACCATTTAGTATTGTCCTAGGAGATCCAGATACAGTTATCACTTTCCATTAGTTTGTTAAGCTAAAATACCTTAATAGCTTCAACAACAATTTTCTATTTATATACAAATTTCTGACAAACAACAGAAATACTTGGTATTCTGGTCACTCATTCAAATATATACTGATATTGAAATACAGCTAAAATGTATAACATGAATAACTGATCTTTGATTTGATTTGATACTCATGCAAATAAATGAGGCCAGTAGCTAATTATCAATTGTTGATTATGTAATTTAATAGTCCTATATATGATTGGATTATGGCTATCAGATAACTGTGGACTGGATAAAATCTTTTTATATCATTCACATTATCTTACACTTATGTAACATGTGATAATAATATCAATAAATACACACTACTGATTAATGAATAGTATTTCTGTGTACTGATTTGTATGTTTTTAAAACTGATACATATTGAAATGAGGATTGTTAAGTCAGGCCAACCTCCACAATAGTGTATTAAATATTACAACAAAAAGGGAAGAAATAAATAATAAATATAGAAGTCTCTACTGGATGCTTGGTAGAAATTCAAGATTGGCTATTAATAGCAAACTTCTCATTTACAAGGCAATGTTTAAGCCAATCTGGACATATGGGATACAACTATGGGGCTCTGCTAGTGACTCCAACATAATGACAATACAACGAGTTCAAAACTATATATTGAAACAACTTTCGGATGCACCATGGTTTATAAAAACAACTGAGATCCACAAACTACTTGATATCCCCATTGTTAAGGATGTAATTAATGACTACAGCAACAAATACAAATCACGACTACACAGGCACCCAAATAAATTCGCTGGGCAACTTACAATACCTGAAAACTTGCGCCGATTAAAGAAAAGACGTGATATATTTGACCAAGATAGTCAGACACAGGACTGACTTTTTAAGAGCGAGGAGCTGTTCTACTGAGAGCGGCACTCTACCTGATACAGACGGAACACCACATCTGCTTATAGTCCATGTGACTGATTGCAAGATCTAAAAGGAAAAAAATAATATTACAACATCTGTTGTGTAATACAGCATATAATGTACTGGGTATGATTCAGAGCAAACATGCCCCTACTTCATTGCGCTGTGTTTGTGTGCGTGGATAAAAGCAATTTAATAAATCGATCCCTCTCAATTAGTAATTATTTAATTTTGTTTATTATTTTTATGAATTGTTACGATTAATTTGATATAATGGTTGTGAAAAAACAGATAATAATAATAATTTTATTTTGCATCCAATATTTACAATTTAAATTGTTCCCTGGTACCTAGACTAAGTAGTAACTTATATTTTAGGTACCAATTCCCTCCTCTTACAATTTGAATTTATATTTTGGGTTGACATGTTTGAAAATAAAAGCCCTAAAATAAAGTTCGATATAAAGAAAATATAATGTTCAATGCTGCTCTTGATAATTGATACAGTATACACAGAAATAAATTTGTTTATTCAGATATTTGATATATGGAGGCCAGTTACTACCCTGATTTAAACTGAAAGTTCACAAGACTGGCCATGGCTGATATTAACATGGTTAAAAATATAGACTAACTACAGATTAGTTCTGTGGTAGATACCCCATGGCTTGTTGGATGTGGGCATGTCAATGTGTAAGTTCACCATGACTCAACATTTAACATTGCCTTTGATTTTTACATTACATCATTTAGGTTAATGGAGGAAATTATGTACATATATTGTATAAAATATCACTACTATTTATTACATACCTACATATATGACATAATATTATATTGTATTTGCAGTTATATTATTCATTTCAAAAATATGAAGGACATTCATTAATTAGATTACAATGTTACAATAAAATTATATAAATTCCGGCCGCTCGGCCGAGTGCATGAACCAAATGCCCGAAACTGCGGTTCCTCTCGTACTGAGCAGTATTACTATCGCAACGACAAGCCATCAGTAGGGTAAAACTAACCTGTCTCACGACGGTCTAAACCCAGCTCACGTTCCCTTTTGATGGGTGAACAATCCAACGCTTGGCGAATTTTGCTTCGCAATGATAGGAAGAGCCGACATCGAAGGATCAAAAAGCAAGTCAATTATTAAGTAAAATTGTCCCAGCTCATATCTGACTGAAAGGTTTCTATATCACTGGCATCATTTACAGTCATGAATTGCTATATTATATATTAACTAGCTAACCCAGCAAACATTGCTTGCTGCCATAAAGGTTGAAGTACTAATATTACTATAAAAGACAAGGGTTGATCGTAAAAGGGTGAAAATGTGATGGATGTATTTTTCAATGCAAAATCATAATAAAATAAAAAAATAAATTGTCCAAAAAATAAATGTTAGAGATTCTCAGACCTACTGAATATGCATATAAAATTTCATAAAAATCATTCAAGCTGTTTCGGAGATTTATTGTAACTAATATTGTGACATTAGAATTTTGTATACATTTAAGATGTCAAGAATGTATATGTAATTAAATTATTACAGTGATGACCATGGCTTCAGCCCGCTCCACTGGGCATGCAAGGAGGGACATCTGAAAATAGTCGAGATGCTGATTAGACGCGGTGCTCGCATCAATGTCACCAACATGGGTGATGATACACCGTTGCACCTGGCTGCAGCACATGGTCATCGACCTATTGTACAACTGGTTAGTTTGTTTATGGATGTTAATGGAATAGTGCATTATGTTATATTGTTTCAATTCTCTGGCAGTTTAACACACTGCCTTACATGTGATAGTAGCACAATACTAATATTTGTATTGTATCTGTATTATTATAGTGTATTCGTCTTTATTTAACCCTTTCCACTTCATCCCTTTTTTTCTTTTTATTCCACCAGCTCCATGCTAAAAAAGAAATATTACACTATGTCGATTGTTGCTCGACAGTAGAGATGGTGGAACAAAATCAATGTCGAGTGACAGTCGACATTGGAGTGGATAGGGTTAATAATATATATATTATATGTATAAGTTTGTAGTCTAGATTTCATAGGACATGCCCTACTTATTCAGGACTAGAAGGCGATTTGTGAATTGTCCTGTGTTATAACACTGCTATTGTATACACACATAGTATATAACACACTAGGCAAATAATGTGATATGTATTTACTTATTTATTACCTGTTAGTTATAGTTTTAACATGCTTTATTATTATAAGAAAACAAAAGGGTATAAGGATGATGTGGTAATAATGTTATAAGGAAAATGTTTACCTAAATCCTATACAGAATTCTTTAAAGTATTGCTCATGCATTTTGTTCACAAGCAAATAGATTGTGAACCAACTATAAGTATTATTTTTGTAATTAAATCATTGCCTTTAGGACCAATTATTATTATTGTACACATATATAGAAATTTGAGAATATACTCCCTATGGAGAAGATATAAGTTGGAAAAATAGCCAAATTTAAGATCTCTGCTTTTGAAGATGTTTTCGAATGAATGATGAAAAAGACCTTTTTTTACTTGGAGAAAATCCCTCATGGAAACCCACCCACCCCGGGGGAGGCAATACCCGAGACTCCTACTCATTAAAAACTGAGGTCGCGGGATCGAGTGTCAGTCCACCGCAACTCCGGCTGTGTCGGTGCGCTTTCGTGTGCGATTATAGGATCAATTTCTACTTTTTAAAGAAATGAGGCGTTGTTATCTCTAAACATCTTGTAACGCCGGCCGTCGCTACAGCAGTTGGGATACAATACAAATGTATTACCCGTAACATGCTACTTTAGTGTATCAGGAACACCATGGAGTTTTTAATGAGTATTAATCATAATAAAATTTAATGTGATAATAGATTGATTCCCGGCACAGACATAGGCTACCTTTTATTAAAAAAAAATATCTGGAATGGGGAGAAATAAACATTAAATGTACAAATTTTGTACATGAAATAATCTTTTAATCTAAATCTGTACAAAGTCACAGCTAACTTCATTCATTCATAATTTAACAGTGGCACTCTTGTGTACCATAATTCTCTTTATGTGTTTAAGCAAGTATATTTTTATTTATTAATTGACAATCTGTTTACTTTTAAACAACAGTCCAATTTTATTAAATGATTATATTTCTTTCAAATGATGAGGCTGGTCCAGCGAGTCAGCTCTATAGCGACAGCTGTCTGTAAATCTTATCACTAGTCCCTGGATGTAAGAATCTTAGACTCCCTGATCTTTACAGCTGTGCTGCTAGTTCATTTCTACATCCATTTAATCTCGATTAGTAGCGTCCACTATAGGATTCTATTTTCTATTTTATGCAAGTATTTTTCTTAATTACAGTTGTTACAAAATCGAGTGGATGTGAACTTCACAAACGAGCATGGCAACTCTCCACTGCACTATGCTTGCTTCTGGGGTTATAGCGCAATCGCTGAGGACCTCCTGATGGCCGGCGCTCTGGTCTCGATGGCCAATAAGGATGGTGACACGCCCCTTGACAAAACTAGGGGCCAACTTGTGCAGAGGTAACTACTGATAGTTTTTATATGACCGCAATTCAATGTCAAGTTAGGTCAGTCATGAAACAGTCCTTTCTACGAACACAGTCAAGAAAACCGTAAACCACACCACTGTGTCTCCCAAACCACGACGTTGGCAAAATCACCGACCTCATTTGGTGGAAGCCATTTAAACTAAAAGAAGAAGAAGAACTGAGCTAATTATGATAATAATAAGAATGGACAGTTCGCTCAGAGCCATCTAGTTTAGCCTTGTATTATGGGTACTAAAGAACTGATACAAATACTTATATACATTCTTTTGTAAGTACATACATAATATATGTAGAAAACATCCAGCCTAATACTAGTAATCATACAAATATTTGTATTAAGCGAGGAATCGAAACCATCATTCATCAGAGGTAAGGTGATGTGCTAAACGGATAGATCATCGAAGCCATCAAATTAAACTGAAAGCAGTTGGCATCACATAGAAGCACATAGAACCATACTAAAACTATAAGGTGACGATTCATGCTAAATTTCTAAACTAAAAACATACTTCACTCTGTTATACTATTGCAATTTTCTCGTCACAGTAATACCAGGTCCCATGAGCATCCTACTGGACCGCGTGAGCGATGATAAGCTATCTCAGCTACGCTCAGAAGCAACAATCACCGTACCTATTATTAAGTAATGAAATAAAAAATCTATTAATGTACATTTATAATAGATACTTATGATAATTAAATTTGCCACCTGCATACCCCCTTAGTATTACGGGTGCTCATGTGTGGCAGAAATCCATCACAATAAGATGATAATATGAGAATTCCTATAAACAGATTGCACGAAATGGCAGTGCAGCAGGGGCAGGAACTTAAAAAGATTCAGTTCAAGGACCAATCCTGGCTGGGCCTCAAGACAAGGAGCAGGGACGCGACTCTCTCCCGACACAAGGGCATCAACATCAACGAGCTTGCATTGCATACACAAATTGCTACTACACCTTCAGGTAGGTCTAAACATTTAAGCGAAAGAATGTTGTTCCCGCAATCCCGCCCGGCTAGAGGTGAAAGATATACCATCAGATTTTTATCCGATAGCAGTCCAGTAGTACCCATTGGTCCCCTTTGGTGAATGGGCCTTCATGACGGCATGGAGGCGACCGACGACAGACATGCATGACTACATGATGACATGACTTTTCCTGATATAGAAAAAGTCTTGAAAAATCTTCAAAAAAATATAATCAGAGATTTGAAATTTGACTATTTCTCCAACTGGTTTCTTGAATATAAATGTTTGTACTGTGCGAGAAATCGAACCTGCGACCATCGGAAGTAAGGCGGTTTGCTTACCGCGGGCCACCCTCTAATTATCCAAAATATAATGGCTTATTTTTGTATGGTACAAAATATGCTTTTATTGCATTTATCGCGAATTATATACATAATTTGTACTTTATATGATGTTTTTTTATATCGGTTCATTCTTATTTCTTGTCCAAATGCCTGTACAAATTTCGCCTAAAATAATGTATGTTCGGTTTGTTTTTCGTGGAGGTGTCTTTGAAGACAGTATGTATTCAACAATTTTTGGAAAATAACGTTATTTTAATTCCTATTTTTCTAATTAATATGTAGCCTTGTCTGCTTATGTTAAAACGATATCGTAGTTCAGAGAATACTTGTAACTATTATCAATCACTTAATAATAACATACATGTGTGACATTAATTGTACAGGCGAGACATGGCGTGGCAAATGGCAGCGCAACGACATCGTGGCAAAAATTCTCGCGGTCAGGGAGTGCACCCCTCGGATACAGCGTGACTTCAATGAGGAGTTCCCCAAGCTCAGGATATTCTCACACCCCAACATATTGCCTGTTGTAAGTAAAATTCTTACTGTTGATCCGGCTCGAAGGATTAGAATTATAATCTTAATTCTTTAAAAGGGGTACGCGAAACTTATGTAATATTTTTATATGAACGAAATTTATCTAAATCTACAATTCATTAATAAATATACTATACGAAAATACAACTATAACAAAAGTGCTTCTAGAATTTATTAAATAATTAAATAAAAATATATATTTGTATTTTATCAAATAAATTATTATTTAATTATTTAATAAATTCTAGAAGCACTTTTTATTTGATAAACTTCGTGGCAAAATACCTGGATCCTAAATGCTTTCGGACAGTGCGGTTTCAGAGGAACTTCTTCCCGTGTACACGTAGATTGTAGAATGAACTACCTGCCTAGATTTTCTCGAGAGACTGCATCATGGGTTTTTTCAAGAAGAATAAGATCATTAAGGTTTCTTAAGGGTCGGCAGCGCGCCCATAACAAACCTGATGTTTCAGCCGTCCATAGGCTAAGGTAACCATTTACCATCAGATGGGATAATATAAAGCCTAAATGTGATGTTGTACAGGTGGGATGCTGCGTGTCCCCGCCGACACTGGTGGTGATCTCGCAGTACATGCCGTGGGGCTCGCTGTACGAGCTGCTGCACGGCGGCGGCGCCGGCCGCGTGGTGGTCGACGCTGCTGCCGCCATCCGGCTGGCCGTACACGTCGCCTCCGGCATGTCCTACCTGCACTCGCTGCAGCGCGACAAGATCCTGCCAACTTACCACCTCAATAGCAAGCATATTATGGTAACATAACTTACTTTTAGATTTTAGAAATAATCTTAATATATGCACCTTTGAATAGTCATAATTTTTTAAACACCAAATCATTAAGTCTCACTCATTCGGAATGCCGATTGATTATAAGAAGAATGAGAAACTTGCGAAAAACTTGAGAAATTGAAAAAACATTTATATGGAATGGAAAAATGCTGAAAAAACATCACGTGATTAATGGACTTAATTTCAGAATTTATGAGCATATTTACATTGATTGTCTGCAGATCGACGACGATATGACGGCGCGAATCAACATGGCGGATGCGAAGTTCTCATTCCAAGAGAAGGGTCGCATTTACCAGCCGGCGTGGATGGCACCCGAGGCGCTGCTCAAGCCGGCCGCCAAGAGGAACTGGGAGGCGGCCGACATGTGGAGCTTTGCCATACTCCTCTGGGAGTTGGCTACTCGGGAGGTGAGATGAGATACTCTATTTCAGTTTTTCAAGTGATTCGTTTGATTTCGTTTGTGTTTGTTTGTAAAACATTATTGTACATTAAATTAAGTATAAAATGACACAATTAACTTATAAAATGAATGCCTGGTACTCATTATAAGAAGGATTTCATTCAGTAAACCTTGGAATAACTGAGAGGAAGTGTGGAGTGTTGGAATAGTGTACAATAATGATAATAACCCAGGATAATTCACACAGGATTAACTAGCTAGTGTTATGGATATTAGACAATTGATAGAAATACTTAAGTAGATATATTTTTTGTTATTGTTAGTAAAGTGACAGTAGGAAGAGGGTCTCTCACAAATATAACCATTTATGACATAGAAGAGAGGGCAGTAAGAATTACGAAATGTTTGTTACACATGGCCTTTCATTTGCCTTTTATATATTCCAAAAATTAAAGGTAAAAGGAGATCCGGCGGTTCAATTGATGAAATTTTTGCACATTATGAATTTAACTTTGTCACATATAATAAAATTTATAATTAAATACTCGTAACTTAGGAAACCGTTCTAACATTCAACTCGTTCATTCCTCACTTCACTCGTAAATCCGTTCTCTCGTCATTCGTGTTCCATTTCATGCATATATCATTCATACAGACGTTCCGTTATATACCAACCTATATTACTCTATAAGTAGTATAAAATTTAAAATCCAATATACAGATACCATTCGCCGATCTATCACCAATGGAATGCGGCATGAAGGTAGCCCTCGAAGGTCTGCGCATAACGATACCGCCGGGAGTGTCGCCGCACATCTCCAAGCTGATAAAAATCTGCATGAACGAAGACCCCGGGAAACGGCCGTCGTTCGAAATGATACTACCCATCTTGGAGAAAATGACGCGCTGATTTTGTACCGTCGAGAGAAAAGTGGGTGCTGTTTGATTGTGTATACCAGTGGTTCTCAAATGTGGACTGGCCTATGGACTAGTAAAATATCTGTCTATGAAAGAATTTAGTTTACAAACTATTATTTTATTTTGAATTCAGTTCCCATACAGTTGTCCATGAACTAACAATGGGATTAAATAAAATATGGTCTATGATAGAATTAAATTTACAAACCATTATTCCATTCTGCATTCAGTTCCCTAACAGTGCATGAACCAACAATTGGTCTAAAGCGAAAATATAGTCTAAGAAAGGATTGAATTTTCGTTCTGCATTTAAATTACTTGTTAAATAGTATTGGACATGGGCAGCTAGAGAAAGGCTAATTGATTGACATTACAGTGTCTGGGCTGTCTCTGGTCAAAACAAGGTTGAGAATCACTGGTCTATACTAAATCTATGGTATTAAATTATTTAACACTTTAATAACGGTACAATATTGATTTAGTATCCGCCGTTTTGACTCCTATGCAGGGTTGGAAATAAAATACGTACCAAATGCCAGTGATAGTCAAAACTGAACAACTTTCTCCTATAACATAGTGAAAAATTTAATGTGAATAGTATTTGTATGGTTTTAAAAAATATTTTCAGTTTAAATTTCCTTTATTGTACTTATAGATACAGTAATAATACTAATTAGATACAATGAGAGCAAATAAGGACTTATCTCTAAAAGAGATCCCTTCCAGTTAACCCAAAACAGTGTGACATGACTATACCAGACTGTTTTGGGTTCTTACTAATCACTACTAACTAGTAGTGAGTAATAAACCTAACAATTGAAATATAAGTCTAAATCTAAAACTATTTAAATGTTAACAAATTAAACTAAAAATAATGTTCTATATAATATCATCATAATACACAACTATAATACTTAAACGTAAATAAGGAGCATATAACACACATATAAACATTTTCCACTTTGCTTTTCCTGGAAAGTTCCGTTTTTTTTAACGTTGTCACTGGTTTTCAGCATGGTATTCCCCTTACGACCAACCCTGAATATGTTTTTTTTAATTCTCACATGTACAGTAAACAATATTCTCAAATAAATTTGCGGGAACGTGCCATAAAAATGGTACAAAATATTGTATATGAAAATGTATGAAATCAACTGCCAGTATTTTTTTGTTGTTGTTTAGTACTTAGGTTGTGTTTGGTTTTTAGAGAATAGACTAATTAGAATGTAATCTACACTATATTATAAGAATACAATCACAATCGCCGACTTTATAAATGGTGCTAAATTTATAGAACAAACATTACTAAATATTAACATTCTCAAAAAGTAAAAAAAGAAATAATTACAGGTTCTTTTATATCGTAATCATAATACTAAGCCACTGATGAATCAACTCTCTTTTAATAAAATAGTTTATGGTTTGTATAATTTTATAAATAGAAAATTATGTAGAATTATATGTAAGTATAATAAAAATGTAAATGATCACTGTCCATACATATATGAATATAACCCAAAACAATGATTATTAGAGATTTTGTCTGTTTTGTTGCTGTATCTCTAGATTATTTTATTAACATAGTATTGGAGTTATTTGGCAGATTTATTAATTTTTTTCACAAGGCAAGTTAAATCACAAAATTGAACAGTTGAGTTTTTTGTTTTGGTTGTGAGTAATTTCAAATGTATTGACAGAATGTGAGGGTTCGATCGTATACTTGAAGAATTTTGTATGTATTTTACCTACGATTTCGTCGGCATTATAATGATTGGTCGAAATAGAAGGTAGCTTATGTTATTCGAATATTTACATTTAAAAATATTTTTTTTTAATTGTATGGGTATGCATTATTCATTCTAAAGTATGGTAATATGTATTAGTTTATTGAAGATTGACTTGGTCATGAAATTTTTGCGTGTTCATATGTTTGTATCAATGAATGAATCTCTTATATGTATGTATTAATATATATACATTATAATAGTAATACAACTTCAGGACTGTTATCTTAATTAAGGTAGTCAGAGCCATTGTCAACTTTTAACGTACTGGTTAACGCAGACGCAAAACTCATTTGATATATCCCATATTTTATTGGATATATTCAAATCCAAAGTTGCAGGTGACTACGACTATCTCTCGAATTAATTTTTAGTTTGTTACTAGTGTAACTGTCAACGGTGAGTCAATCAGACAAATTAAGTAAATTAATGAGCAGTTTTTAGGCTTCGGTTGACTCGGAACAGATTATTATGCGAATATTTCGCTTTACTTTGTATTGCGAATTTCTATACACTTAGACTTAGACTTCAATGTTACTACTCATTTAGTAGGTACTCTCTTCTAATAAATGAAATAAGTTGAATAGATAAACTCGCTGTATGACTAGGTACTAGACTATAGTGACCATATGTGTCGCTTTGGGATATACCCGCTTACACTGTACTGAATCAGACAAAAATGTCCTGAATCAGTGTTTGTCTACATATTGTACTTTTTATAAAAAGGAATTAATTTACTTTCATGTAACATATTGTACTTATAATGCGATTTCTGTAATAACAGTTTTTTTTGTTTCATTTGCATCCTATTTTGACAAAAAATGGCCATGTTACGCTGAACAGACTGGTCTTTTGCAAAACTATTTTATAGGTATCTGTCTATATCTGCGACGTCTAACTTATGCTTACTAATAATGTGCCTTAGATATAGTGATAACTATATTTACATTGTTATGTAAATTCATATTATTATATAATGGATTGTCTAATATTTATAAGAGGATTATACTAAAATATAATATTATTTTTGATGTTACAACTTTCATAAAGTTGTTAATGTACTAATATTTTTATTAAAATTATTTAATCAGTAATTATTGTCTATTTTATTAAATTCTATCATAAAGATACGAATAAGTAGCACTCCTATTTGAAATGTTTTTCTAAATAAATTGTTCAAAAAATTAAAATATATTAGTCTGGGGGATTCAACCACAAACTTCACCCTTCCTCAGGGTGAAAAGTTCCTCCGAAATCGATTAATTACAACGACTTTATAGCTAATAATCCTCGTATCTATCGAATTATCCTTAGATATGAGGATGAAGCTAAAGATGTCCCCATTACTAGCAATAAACCAAATCACGTCAACCTCCACGTGGTCTACCTGGAAACCATCGTGATTCATTCCTGGTGAATTCACCACGATGGTATACCATCGTCAACTATAATTGACAGATGAGCAACAGTTTAACGCAAAGGCGGATCCAGGGGGGTCATGGGGGTCACGACCCCTCCCCCCGCCCCTGAGCTGGTTCCAGGACTTCGGTGGACCACTAATTGAACATAATGATTTTATTTATATATTTTTACACCATACAGATTTTATGTAACTACATACCTTCAATATTTAATTAATTTAATATAATATAATAACTTTGTACATTATTAAAATACCTACTTTTAACTTGTACCTATTGTTATCAAAATTAAATTATAAGTTCTTGACTTGACCACGACTATGTGACCCTCTCCTGGCGCCAAAGCTGGATCCGCCCTTGGTTTAACGATATAAGCTAGCAGGGTATCAGTGGTGGACTGTAGTCACTGTTACCCTGCTCGTATATATCGTTAAACTAGTGAGCATAGTGAGTGTCCCATTGCATTACCAACCTGTTCCAATCAAAATTCCGTTTCGATCCAAAATGTCGCCTCCCCAAACTTATATTTGGCGAATGTACTTAGTGCCGAGCCTTAATAGAAAACTGAAAAAAAAAATTGTAATGTCAAACGTGCCAGCTGCTGGCAGCTTATGATTACTCATGAATGACAGTTGTTTGACAATTCTTCTGATTACAATACGCATGTTTTTTGTTCACATTTTTTTATACATATACACAATATTGCAGAGAAATATTTTCTGATTTGTTAAGAATATCATTAAAATAAATATTTCAATACATTTATCCAAATCCATGATGTTACGTAGATAAAAGTAATAATATCAACTATGGATCCAAACAAAAGTGTTGACAACCACATTCTACCCAACATAAGGGACGTGGAATGGAAACTCGAAGTTGTAACGAACTCGGCTGGAGTTGGTTCAGATAACTTGTTGTACACTATTACACTGAAGACAGACTCGGGAAACGATGTCCGATTTACGTGTGCGAGCCAGCAGTTACACGATTTAGTATATAAACTGAAAGATTTAGTTAGACATTGTGAGAAGTTGAAGAATGAACTTGTTTAAACAAATGTACTTTATAAAGGAAGCCATGAATATAATTAGTGCAATAACAATATATGCGATATCTTTTTAAATCAGTGTATTAGAGCAGTCTGAATTATTTCACCAGTTTCACCAAAAGTGCAACAGGAATGTAAAGATTAGTGTCCAAACTATGCAGACTTTATATTTGAAACCGAATTTTAGTTTAGCTCAGTTTTAGCCTGTACTGATTTATTTAAGGTAAAATAACTTGTAAATTATTAATTCTTTTTAAATGTTGATGTAATTTTGATTTTGTTTATATAAGTAATTATATAAAAATACAGGTTTTATTGCTCAAAAATCCTTACTAACAGAATTTTTATCTGATTCTCTGTTGAAATGTCTTGATATTGACTAACTTCCAATTATATCAACTAAATAAATTCATATGTGCCAGATTCATAACATAATTGGAAATACTATAGAATACTAAGAAATATGTAGATATTACAACTAAGTACTAAGAAATATGTGGATATTATTACTAAATTATTAATTATTAGTATTAAGTTTTTATCCAGAAACTTACAGAAAATGTATAAACAAATATTTATCTACTGCTTGCTACCTACCAAAAACAAAACTTTTTTTCATTGGTTTCTTGTTCTTCAGTAATAAATACTACTAATAAATACTTGTAATGTTTTTTCCTAATTGTACTGTACATATGGTGACTCCTCTAGGGAATCTTACGGCTGAAGTATAAAAATCTATAAATGTATATTTTCTATTCATATATGTAATTTAGGACAAAACATATAAATAATAGATAATTTACAAGATACAGAATTGTGTTCTACATCCATGTAATACAAGTACATAGATGGTAGAACACAATTCACTACTTGTATACTCATATTAATATTGAAAATATAAATTCCTAAAAATCTTTGAGTATCTAAATTATTTCAATAAAATCTTGTTTACCTTTTCACCCAAATTCATCTGAGCACCACATTATACAATTAGTAATAGTAATAATTCACAAATTCATATTCAAAATAACTTTATTTCAAAATACCATATAAAGTACCATAGTATATGAGAACACAAATCAGAAAACAATTGCATTTCACAAATAAAAAAATCACAGATTAACTAAAAATGACTCAAGTGAGTAGATACAAGCTGCATTTTCATAATAGTCTACTCCTAATTAGTGTTAGTAACTTGAGACTCCAAACACTTAATAATAATTGTAATTACAATAAATTTATCTTAAAATATCACAATATCAACAACTACACTACATTTTACAGTGAACAGGTAGCTAATTAGTAGATGTGTTAAGAGCTAGCAGCTAACAACAATACTGTTATGGGAAATAGAAGTAGACATAGTAAAGTCGAACAAAACCCACAGCTATTTTCTATTTATATTTAATTTTGTTAGATCATAGATAAATCATCAAACAATTACAGGCGAATAATCACAATACCAATAATACCGATTTTTATTATGATTTGACCATATTGGATCGAAATCATACGTGATTTTAAGTGGTGATGCGGTCTAATCACACATTTGATGCTTACACATAGTATTAGACTGCTCAGTCAGGCTGATCTGTTGGGTTGTAACAAATTGGCTAAGAGTCCTGTTGGATATGGAGTCAACACAATGAAATATCGCTTGAAGGCGCATTATAAGATTACTTATAATATTATTAATAGATTGTATTGCTAGTTCAAATTTTGATTTTGGGCAGTTGACCGGAATATTGATTTCTCAGGATAAGACACCCGATAGTACCCCCTGATACCTGATAACCCCACCTATCGGTTACTAAATCATGATGGAAGATGTACAAAGAGTGCTTCTTATATATGACAGGGTAAGTTGATACTGTCACTGACAGACGTCACATGTGCATGCTAGCTCTTTTGTTCTAAAGCCTTTGTTGTTTGCAATTAACATTCTCTTAGTCTTAAAATGAGAATCAATTTAAAAAACAGATATCGTTATAACACATAGTCTTTACTATGATATATATAATATACAAGAACAAATTCTCGCATTATAAAATAGACAGATAATTCAAGAATGTTACGCTGCAAATAACGCTATGTCGACATTTTATGTACTTTTGCATTTATGTAATAATACATTATACAATGTGAAAGCCAAATTATGAAAACAATGATTTCAAATGAAGTAACTATAAATAACTGTTATTTCTTAATAGATTTACTATTTAACAAAATCAAACATGGTTAAATTCACTGTTATAGAGATATAAAAGAAAACTAAAATTATTACATAATAAATCGAACAGTTTAGGCCTAAAGAGATAATATTTTAGACCGACTGTATTTATAATTATTAACTAGGGTACTGGTAAAAGTGGGTACATTATTCTTGCAGATATGTAAACGGCGAATTAATAGAATTATTCTGTATGACAATAAATATATTGAACTGTGGTCACGTCATTATAAATTGCAATGAATTTATAAGCTAGTATTATATATAACGATCAACGATAGTATTATATATAAGAATTTTGGCGCCATTTCTTAACGTCAACATCCGCCATTTAATACACGAATAAAAAAACGTATTTTATAATGACGTTTAACTTCTACAGAGTACCGAAGCCATTAACAACATAGACTCTTGAGTAGAGTAATATACAGTTCTTCATAATAAAAATTCAGCCGAGACCTTATACACTATTAAAAGTTACATGTAATAAAATATTGCTCTACCTAAGCTAGCTGCTTAATTAGTTTCGACTCATGAAGAGATATGATTTTTAATAAGGGGATTATAACACTATTATATTTGCGAGAAAGAGTAAGCGAATATACGTAGGCAGTATACGATATATTATGAAGTTTTATTGATATTCACTAGTTTATTTCATTGACAGATCATTCTAGAAATCTAGATTTAACTTTACTATACTCGCACGCCTAATAAACTCCACGTATTTAAAAAAATGGGAAATCAACTAATCCAAAATTTTAGTTTTTTAAGGTCAGTTAAATTTTTTAAGTTGTTAATTAATGAAATTTATTAAGTATGCGATATGATAGTGCAAAAACCCCTTATGTAGTAGACCATATTCATAGTAGACTGTACAATTATTTTAAATGCAGACGAAACAAATGAAGTGTTTATTTGGGACAATAAAGATAATATGTCCCGATGTCTTATACTAAAATACCTAAACAGGAACTAAATGAAAATACACGCCTTTATAATAATATTTAAAACTAATTATTTAACACAGCAGTTAATTGGAAGGAAAATTTTCACTGATGTCTTCAAAAAGCTATTTGATTATTTGAGATTTCGCGACCAATATAAAAGGCTAATTTTAGTATATGTAAGTCCGCAATCTGGCAATGGTAGTTATAAAACTGCATAAGATATTCATACAAAACGTGAAGTCGTATCTACAATTTAGTATGGGAATGTAGTGGTACAGTTGCATGTGAGCTAGTAACAGTGCTAGTACAGTACAGTTAAAGCTATTTTATAAATCCCATATACAAACACAGATCTATAATTGTACACAACTTTCACTCTCCTACAACACATTCACTGGATTAACTGGGTTTTGGATTTCTATACACTTTTTGTTACCAAATCTAATTATTTTCAATATTTTTTTACATTATTTTGGCAGACCGACATGTTAATGTGTCAATATTGAAAAACTTAAAATAGACTGTACAGAGGCATACCTTTTGCTCATAATTAACAATGCAACAATAGATTCACATCTTTAAAAAATATTTTCATCAATAATCATATTATTGATGAAAATATTTTTTAATATATAGCATAATACATAGCTAATGTTAAAATGCTTTTTATTATGCACTGAAAATTGAACGCTACTATATTACATATAAATTATATTTAATATTAACAAACAACACAAAGAACAAATCCAATACAACACACGTTTTTATAAATTTGGGTAATATCACATATCTAGTTGTCATAAAGCATTAAACAATTAATAAGCGCAGAAAACTGTTTACAATAAAGGCTATAAACACGATGGTGTTATATTAAAAAATTAAAAGTTATTCATTAAATCAACGTATAAGCATCGTGGCTTGGTCTTGGAACTTTTAATATATTCCATTCACTGGTAAAATTTCAATAAGTCACAATACTAATTACTACATTCATAATTTCACAGTGCTTTTATATTTTTTAAAAATAAGCATAGAACCTGTTTCCTCATTGGACAACATTTTGTATAAAATGGAACACATTTTGCATAGCTTCATAAATCCTAATGATCCATTTAGTCATATTGTATAGGCCAGTGTGCCTGAGATCGTGATCGGTCGCATTCGATCGCTTAAATTAATTCGCTCATCACTATATGCCATTATTATAGGCTTTTCTTAACTATATAGTAAACACAGATGGCTTTGACTTGTTTCTGTCTGAGAAAAACTAAAGCAATATAAATCGAATTTTAATTTCTTCATATTTCATTCTCTAGCTTATAGGTAATCTATGAAATTCTTCCTCTCAATTCAATTCAATTAATCTATTAAAATGTGATGCTTAGTTTAGTTGATGTTTTAGTCCGGTTTTTATTGCTTTAGTTTTTAGTTTAAACCGATATAGAAATATATATTTTAATACTGAATTTAAGAACAATATCACGACGTCCAAAAGATTCTAATAGACTTATATGTATACTGAGAAATAAGTATATATAGATATATAATATATAATTATATTTCTGTGTACTATGGACAGAGAACAGCACCCTTTTATCGCAGTATCCGAAATAAATATTAGAGATAGAATATTACTTTTTTACATATTACTTAACGGTCTTACTAATCTGGAGACCAAATGCCTGAGTAATATAATCATTATATATTAATATATAACTCTGATTAATCAATGGTGTAATATGCTTTATATATACATAATGATTAGTATATATAAACAATTATAGTTTTATATATTATTTTCCATTTTTTTCTTATATTTTGTTATTATTGATAAATACGTCTTATCGGACGCGGTTTTTTAAATATTGTATATACACAGCATATTTACTATGATTATATTATGATCTCCCGATATTTTGACGGCTGTTACAAACGTCCTGATCATGGGTTGACTGATATTGTTTATGAAGTGTTAGCATACGATTATTACTGTCATAACTCTCTAAAGATTGAGTTATAAAGATACATTCAATTAAATTTTTAAAAGTTCGTGTTTCCTATACATTATTTATATTGCTAACTGGGTCTTAACACCAATAATTTTATGGTAAATAAAGGTAAAAAATTGCTGGCAGTTAATGACATCGCTATTACTCCAGCTCGTGACCACGACTAGTGCAAGTTAATGGAAACATTGAAAGGTAAATCGTTATTTACCATAAAATTATTCGCTTAACAATATAAATAACGGTTATAATGTTATGGGTGACCAAATATACTCATCCAGTTTACATTGAAATGTATAATTAAAGAATTGGCCTAGAAATGGCGTGATTTGATCAAGTGATGTTATTTCTGCGATACCGTGTTTAAAGCGAGAAGAACTTGAGGAAAGCTGCGGGCGGCACGGGGTGCGGGGGGAGAGGACCGCCGGCCTCCTTCACTCGCTCGCGGTATTCCGGGCACTGGGAAAGAATTTTTTAATAATAATATTAATACCCCTGGACAATTCACACAAGGTCATCTAGCCTCAAGGTAAGCAGAGCTTGTGTTATAAGTACTAGGTGATACTTATATATTTTTTTCGTAAATACATACATAATATACGTAGAAAACACCTAGATCGATACAAACAATCGTACTCCTGAATACAATGTTTGTACCGTGTTTGTTCGAACCTGTGATCATTATTAATTTATTTAGCTTAATTTTTCAATTCATTTGTAATTGACAATTTATTTATTATTATCATTACCCGAGACATCATACCCGTGGGCTGTGCTCGAAATAATAAGACTATGAATGACAAAGGAATAAAATAAATACTAAATTTTAAATAAAACCTCCTTTAGTAAATTAACGAAAATCGCACCCAAATAGGTTAGGCTGGTTAAGTTTAATCTGAATATTCAGTGTTTACTCTATGTATCACATAAGTAAAACACTGTTTTAATTATACAAAGTAAAATCTATTATTAAAAATTAATCAGACTTCTTTCATTCATCACTATATCTAAAATAAAAAATAGGCCTATAGTTCCTTTTTCAAAATTAAACAGACAATTGAAAACTTCCAAATTTTTAAAACTGTTTGCAACTGAAAACGTCTCTTCAGCCCTTCTGAAACTTCTGGGCTGAAGATCGTGCTCAGTGGCGTGTCTGGGAGAGGCTTATGTCCATCAGTGGTCTTCAGTGGCCTGATGATGATGGGAATGTATTAGTATCATGTTTTAATTACCTGATCCGCTATACAGGGGTGTCCTAGTGACCGCCAAAACAGGCACTTGCAGTGTCGGCACAGTGACAGCGTCTCGGCATACTGCGCGTCCTCCCTTAGACCGTATAACCTATAAAAAAGAAAAAAAAACTTAAAATCCACTGATGTTTGCGTGAAAGACAGATATAAAAGTGAAAGTTTTTGAGTGTGGATGAATATTCAATTCGTAAAATACGACAACTCTATTATCTTGGGAGTATAGTTCAAATTAGCTCACTTCCTGAGTTGATGGAAGACCTTCTTCCAGTCAACGTCCTTGTCATCGCCGTCTTTGTCCTTGGCCAGGATGGTCTCAGTCTGTTGCTGGGTGAAGTGGAAGTTGACCAGCTCCCGCCATATTCTCTGCTCGTTGCAGACCGACGCCATCACGTTCCACGCTGACGACGCCGCCTGCGCGGGAAATCATCAATATTACATAATACCCCTTATTGCATTTAAAATAGTGCCTACATGTATATTAAAAAGAATGTGTATCTTATCTTTGTCTAATTTTATAAAATGATATCTTAGACCTGGTCCACTCACCATTCACACACACACTCATACACAAATACACACGCACACACATAACCACACACACATGGACACAAATAATTAATTCAAAAATTTGACACAATGGGCTGACTTTTTATTTTTTTTTATACCACGTAGCATACAAACAAGCATACGGCCCATCTGATGCTAAACGGTTACCGTAGCCTATGGATGCCTGAATTCTCATCTTATTATTTTTTACTGGTGTATACCGACAGTATATGATAGATGTAGTTGTATAAAGGGTAGAATATAATAAATATATTTATTAAAAAGATTAACCTTAAATAAAAAAAACCGTTTTCAACAAACAGTTGTTATGCACATTTTTTAACGGAACCAAAGTAAGAAAACTACCTCCCGTGCTAGTAGAAACTGTAATATGTACACGCATATCACAATTTCTACTAGCAGGTTACTAGGAGGCAATTCATAGACACAGTTTGACTTATTTTTTAAGGTATCATGCAAGCAAAGGTGGTGTTCATGGTGTGTGAACTACTCTCTACTGTGTGAAGTCAAGTACCCTCTATACAACTGGATCTATTCATACGATAAACAGTTTCACAACAGGTTGGCAATGGAATTCATTACTTAATTCAGGTAATAAATTAAACTTCAGCAGTTATTGTATGTTGCGTGAATGAATTTGTAAGGCCTTGTAAGGTGAATTGGTGAAAACTGTGATGTTTGACAAAATGTAGTTAATAAATGAATAATATTTTTAGAATAGAAATATAATTGAATACGATAAATTTTGAAAACCATTTTCATTTTGGCAATTCAGTTAAAAAAATCGATAAGGAACTTGGCTGATGCATTTCTGGACGAAAGTTAGTCATTTTTGTACTTTGAAATTTCACAGTTAAAGGTGGGAGATAAGTATCTCCCACTTTTAACTGAGTGTTTTAGTTAAAAGTATATTAAAAAGCAGACCTGTCGATAAGCAACCTTATCGCCAGAAATAAGTGAGACTGAGGTCACAAACCATTTCTTAAAAAGTCTATCTTGATAAAATATTAATATACCTAGCAAATCTTTGACTGTGTGAAACAACTACAATTAGAATTATTAATATATTTAAATGGATTTTAATATTTTTATGGTAAATAAAGGTATTTACTTCTCTCGACGTTTGGACTAGGTTGCCTACCGCGTTGACCGCGTTTTGCTATATTAACAATGTGTACTACACACATAAGTATAAATAATAGAATTACTGTAAACACAATGTTTCTTTTAATAGCGTATTACAAATTGAAGAAATAAAATTAGTCTGATCATGTGAAATATCAATTATACTTACATCTAAGTCCCTGTGATCCGATATTCTCAATAAAATTTCTCTAACACATTCCTCAGGCAAATCGTGGAGTTTAGGCACTACTTCTGGACCAGGCTGGAATGAATACAAGATTATTAAGTTAGAAGATAGAAGATGCTTATGCATTTGTGATATATGTGCGTGTTATAATGCTAACAAAAACATATATTTTACTTTTTAATAGGTCATTTATTTTATAAAACCGGCTGTGAAATATAATTATATTAGTTAAAAACAAACTATATTTATATTGACCCTATATTTATCAATGCCCACACTTTATTATTTTTACATTAATCTTTACATAGTATAAAATAAAGTATTTTCGTTTATATTTTTTAAATTAGGCAACGGATTTTAATGCCGTTATAAGCATAGATAGAGTGATTCGAGAGGAAGGTCTGGTATCTCGGTATATATAAATATAAATTACTGAATAGTTACTTGAGTCACAAAATAAATAAATAAATCAGCGCAAACCAGAACCTGTTCACGACTGTAATGGCTAAAGATTAGTACCTCCTGTATGCGGATGCTGCTGGCGATGCGGTTGATCCTGGCGATAGCGTGATCATGATGACCCCATAGAGCGCGCGAGCCGAGCGGTCGGCCCCAGCAAGCACGCCGCTCGGCTTCACGTAGCGCCGCCAATGCTACTACCAACGCGCGCAGACCGCTCAAGTTCTGCTGAGATGTTGCCACTGTGCACATGATACAACACGTCATTATAACATAATGGGGGAAGGAAGGGTATTGTTAGTATAGAGTCCGTCTCCGGCTCGAAGGACCATTGTGTAGTCCTGGATAGCTCGATTGAAAACAGCTCAAGTTCTGCTGAGATGTCGCCACTGTGCATGCGATACCATCGACGTCATTACCAACATGTCATCATAACGCAAAGGGTGGAGAGAAGAGGATTGTTAGTGTATAGTGCGTAACCGGCTCGAAGGATCATTGTCCTGGATAGTTCGATTCAAACTCATAGACTATAATAGATAATTTGTTTGACGTCTTTATAACATACCGGTTAACGGTATTGTTAATAGAGTGGTGTACCCGCCTGTACTAATTGCTGGCGGGGCATCAGCGAAGGATGATAGGGTGAGGTTAGGTCAGTTAGCCCATCGCGTCAAATTTACCAGGAATTCCTCACGATGGTTTCCAGGGGGAATCGCGTGGACGTCAACCTGAATTGGTACATGGAACTATGGTGTAATCAGTCCACATTACTAACAATCTCCTTACACCCAGTAACGGATATTAATGACCCCATTGCTCGCAATATACCATTCACATTTTCCCTCCTGGCTTTCGATTATGGTTAATACTGGTGAATTTGTCACGATGGGTTAACTGACTTTACCTCAAGCTTATTATTTATATCAAGGATGATGTCCAGTGGAGCCCAGCCAGAGGATAATCTAACGGGTATACTCGTACGCAGGTGGATGCACCATTCTATAATAATCCATTTAAAAATAATAATATATCTTCACGACATTTATCCAAGATGTGGTAGTCTGAGACAATCTGAACACGTAAAACGTAAGAATTGATATGCTTCCATTTCGCTGGGTATATATTTGAACATAGGGAACATTTTGGTTTGTTATACATGTTACTTCGATTATTTTTGCGTTGACCGAATTTGAAATTGGAATTTTTGGTGTCTAATTTAGACCAATAAGCCACTAGGTCAGAATGCTCCCAATTCTGAGATATTGTTTCCAAAATATTAGCTACAATTCCAAACATAATCTATATGATTACAAGAATTCTATTCTATAGAAAGTTACATTATATGCAATAGTAGTAGAATTACTAAACGATTAAGTCTCGGATATTCCTGCAGACGACTTTGTACCGTATAAATCTACGACAAGCATTAGTGCCGCATGAATGTAATAAATATAAATAATTAATGATATGGAATCAACAGTTTGTCCATTTCAGACGTACAAAATCAACAGTTTGTCCATTTCAGACGTACAATATGAAATTCAAATACACAGTTAAAATAAAATCATGATCTCGGCGACCTCGGTGATATAGCGGTCTAGCACACCGTTCTGCATCCGATGGTCGCGGGTTCGATTCCTCGCACGGCACAAACATTTGTATTCATGAGTATGGCTGTATCGGTATGAATGTTTTCTATGTATAATACGTATGTATTTACGAAAAAAAATATATCTATGTATTTGTTATCTAGTGCACATAATACAAGCTTTAGCTAGCTTAACTTGGTTCTAGATGGCGCTGCGTGAATAGTCCTCAGATTATTATTATATGATACTTTTATATTAAAAAATTTGATCATTCTTTTCCACTAGGACAAAATTAATTTCAGCTAAAAAAAGCATGTTTGGAAAAGTGTTGTATTATAAATATTGAAATTTAATATTCTTAAATTGCGGCCATTAATTACACTTGTTTATTTTTCTAACCCTCAAATATATTTGCATATAGCTACATAAAATCCGCGTTATTCGTTCGTTTATTATTTTTTTGCCTGTATAAATTTACTTTAGTGTGCACTATGCCTGCCAAGATATATGTTACATAATATTAACAGTTATAGTTAATTGTAAACAAACAATTACACACTAGTCTGCACTTGTTCATTGCTCTTATTCAATAACTAAAAGCTTGCCAAAACATAATAAAAGTAAAAGTACGCACTTAACCTACTTCTATTATATTCCTAACAAAAAGTTCAAATTACTGCAACATTCATTACTTATAGTAATTGCGATCTTAACACAATTAGCGCATCATAGTCTACTAGTTTAATACCTCTACTTAATCCCATAGGTCGGAGGTTCGAATTTGACTGTCACCGAAAAAAACTTATAATTCTGACGTTAATTTATTCTTCTGACTGACTCTTCGTTGATGGCAACACCGATAACAAACTCATGGCTTGGTCACCTCATCACATCTTTTTCCAGTGGTGCCTCGCTTGTGAGCGTAGGCGGCTATTCCATTATCAATCATAAAAACATAAACACAGAGTTTACAGTAAGTTTCTCACCCTGGTCGGCAAGTTGCTCCAACATTGACAGAAGTAATTTCTGTGCTGCACCAGGTAGATGTGTCAGCCTTTGCCCTCCGAGTAGCAATTCCAACAGAGCGCAGATGTAGTTAAACCGTCGCACATCTCGGACGGCAGACGAGAAATCCAGCCGCCTGACCGCTTCTGATAGGCCGTTGAAGCCTGCAATCTTAATATATAAAATAAATATAATATATCTCTGGACAATTCACACAACGTGATCTAGTTCCACGGTAATCAGAGCTTGTGTTATGGGTACTCTACAACTGTTTTAAACACATATTTTATACATGAATTAATATCGCTATTAAAAATAGAGGGGTTGGTAGAGGGGTGAAAGTTTAGGGTCGTATGTATTTTTAATACCGAATTATAAAAATTAAAAATTATGTCCAAACAAATAAAAAATGCGTTAGGTCACCCTTATCGCATATAAAATTTCATCAAAATCGGTTAAGTCTTTTCGGTAAAGTCTAGCAACTACTGTGAGACGAGAATTTATATATTAGAAGAAAAAGACTACAATAAGAAAGGAGATATATTTATTAAATAATAATCATTTATTAGTCGTAATTAGTTTTTTCAAATATATAAATTGGATTGAAAGCGGATCTTTCAGTTATCAGATGCTTTACATATGGAAAGAATATTAGCAGATGACGAAATAGACATTGAGTGTTGATTTCACCAATGGATATTTTTTTTATTGTTTCTTGAACATTAAAAAGTTTACAAAAGGCGAGCTTAATGCCAAATGGCATTCTCTATCAGCTAACCTTTAGGTAGAAATAGAAAGGGTTGTAGGGCATATATTACATTAATAATACATTCTACAATAATATATTATGTTTTACAAATAAAGAATCTTGAATTAAGTTATATAAATATATCTAATATAATATATTTAACAACAAATCTCAATTCAAATTAAGATCGAAATGCTTTGTAGCTGGGCTAATTCTGTTTGTATATCACATTTGCGGTTATAGCGTGGCCTAAATGCCACCACAAAACCGCATCCGTAACTGAACCTACTGTAACAGACTTTGGTCCACCGAAAGTTGAATCTTTGAGCGTGTATAGAAATTAAGCAATTTGGTCAAATCTATTAGTGGGAAGACAATCCACGGTTTGGTGTTAGAAAACAAACATTGCTGCAATTTTGAGTTCCTAGCTCATCGTCGTTGTTTCGTTTCAGTGGTAACTAAATGTATTTTCCCCAGAATGTTGCGACGACTTTTGCGCATTCTGTCGCAGTTTTTAAATCTTCTGTGCAGGATGTTGGGCACAAAGGACAGGTCAATAAATGGAATAAAAGAAAATAAACTTATGTACATAAATATATTGGTATCTTTGGAGAAAAATACATATCTGAAACCGTAAGTAGCTTTGCTGTTAGAAAAATACTTGTTTTCGAATAATACAGTACTTGTTAATGTAAGTCACACAATATCCTTGGAAGTTTGGACGAAATATGTAAGTCCGGGTAAATACGTTTACGGTCTTTTTCAGTAACAATCGGTTAGGTATACAGATAAATAGTTACTACGTGCATTATAAAATAATCATGACGGCCTTGGTAATGTAGAGGTTTAGTACAGTGCTTTATTTCTGATGGTCGGGGGTACGAACTCGTACGTACTTGCTAGTATTTGTCGGGGTGTTTTGTATTTAATTAAAACAAAATTTGTTCTAAAGCACCAATGCTGTTCTTATATATCAGTTGGGTAGTAATCTTGTTTGCCATTCAAATGAAAATAAAAACCAAATATTTTTCCTAATGGTACTTACTTCTCTAGTACATTTAATAGTGATGTGGCAGTGAGGCGGTACTCTAGCCGCAGCGTCGTTTGTTTTGTCACCATCTTCACTTTCTTGGGCCCTGAAAGAAATAAATATATTACATTTATTGTGTGGTTAAAAACAGAGATTTATGGAGGAGACCTTCACCTACAGTGAAGTTTATAGTCACAAATCGAAAAATAGTCACTAGAGAAATTTAGTATTATTTAGAAAATAAGAAGAAGATAAAGAAAATTACATGTAGTACTGACTACATTTTTATTTTTAAGTACGTGATGACGGGCATGAAAATAAAAATGTTTACTAATTGTGAAACAAAAACACAAAAGATTGTACTGAGTAAGCTACTTGTCTTCCTAATTATCGGCCCTCAGGTCTCAGACATACACCACTGTTCTCACTTGCCGTTCAGCTTAATGCCCGTATAACGCCAGCAGTGTGCGCTAGGGACGATATAATGCTTCCTTTTTTTCTGACACAATGTCATAAACGCGAAAGTTTCATAAAGGCGAGATAGAGATACCCCAATAGTCTATTAACAGACTTTTTACTGTTTACTTTTTAATAAAGTCTTCCTCATTGCTTAATTCTTCTTCTTTCGTATTTATGGCAACCTCAATGTATTTACAATAATATCTATATTCTGGTTTATTGAAACTATAAATATGATCAATAATAATTTAAACAGGTATCGTTAAAATGACGCGAATAAGTGAAAGCAACTCATTCAGTCAATTCCATTCAATTTAGCATCTAGCACGTGCCCTTAGATAGGCTAGCTTTCCAAACATTTCACCGTGAAATGGCAGAGTTATTAACGGCGCGTGCGCACTGAAATTGCTTCTTTTAATATATCTGGTTTGTTCTTGTAGGTACCTTTGTTAAAGTTTCTCTGAATTTATGGTTGAACTGCAATATGATTCTATTCAGACGTAGTATAAGACTTGATTTGTTTTTTTATTGTCCTTATTAATTTTTAAATGTTGGTACAAATGAACCGGGATCTAAAAGTAGTTTATGTGCATCTCCTTTAAAAATAAAAAGTAGGATACGACTTGATTTGTTTTTTAATGTTCTTATTAATTTTGAATGTTGGTACGAATAAACTGGATTTAAAGGTGGCCTATGTGTATCTTCTCTACAAATATTATTTTAAATTTCGTTAAATTTGTTAAATAACAAACTGATTGATTATATAGATTTCATAAATAATAATTGAACGTTAAATCTTACTTCAATGTTTCTTTTTTTAAAAGAGTTCTTTTATCTTTTATATTATTACGCTTATGTATTATGTATGTTAATATACAACATTAAAAACATCCAGATCAATACAAACAATTATACTCATGAATACAAACTATAATATCGTGTGAGAATCGAAACCGAAAAATTAATCAATCTATCAAATCATTTATTAGCTTATATAATGTCGATCCAATCCAAATATTTGTAATTTGACTTCTAATAAATTATAATGGAGTTCAAATTCATTTGAAAGGACCATTCTACATAATATAAACTTTAACATTCAACGTACAGAATATTTAGTCCTTTATACCTTATATGTATACTCACATATCCCATATTTACTTCGTGCGTATATTTATAAAACGATTACGAAAAGACTGTAAAAATATCTACGGAAAATAGGTGTCTAAATATTCCAGAAAATGGGTCACTGGAAACCTTGGTAGTGCGACCTACTTTAATTCTCCAATCCCAGGTGATCCTTCCCAAGTATGAGGATATCATGAAAACGAGGATCTATTAAAATGGATCATCCAGGTTTAACGTATTGAAATCTCTTTTAGAATAGATTATTGGAATTCCGAAATTAATGTGTTTTGGTAATCTGCTTTTACTTAGTAGTACTTAAGTACCTAGCAAGGTAGTGATGTATAATAACTTTTTTACATTAAAATTCACTCAACGCCATCTAGTTCCAAACTAAGCAAATACATAGATAATACTAATAGAAAACACCCAGACTAATACAAACCATCATACTCATGAATACAAACGTTTGTATCGTGTGACTATTGGAAATAAGGCGGGGGGGTAAACTGCAAGATCACCTAGGTCGTGTACAGTTCTATTATAAACAATCAATTAAGAGTCTCAAAGCGAACATAGCTAATATTACTTCAGTCAAAAAATATACAATCACGAAATGAAATTATATACCCCACGTGATAATAGACCTCGGGAGAGATTTTTGCCCAGCAGGGAACGTGCTTTGTCATTTTCAAAACATCAAAATAAACCGATTCCTTACATACTATTGCACTATTGTATCTATTGTTAAATTTTTGAATTAATATATAATTTTTATGTGACTGAAATGACAGAACACATGATAGTCAGTAGTGATCGTCCTCCATATAATATGTGAACAGCACCACGAACATCACATTATCTTATAAAACTCTTGGCAGTCCTCTTGCGTTACACATAGCGGAATACCTAGAAATATTATATGATAACCCTCATCGTAGTCTATGGTCTACATGAAAATGGCAAGTAAGTGGCTACTGATGGTACAGAGGTGGAATCGACAGTGAATGCATAGACTCAAGTGTCGGGAACCATAGAGTATTTTTATAGTATATAGAAAATTTCAGATCCTTGTACCAAAAAAGGCGGCTACTGATAGTACACAGGAGGCTTTGACAATGAGGGCTTAAACTCAAGTGCCGGGAACCATAGAGTATTTTTATACTATACAGAATATTCCAGACCCTTGTACCACAAAGAAAAAAGAGCAAAATGAAAATTTTCTTTATGTCACGTCAAGTTCAGGTTGTGTGTTGGGAATTGGGTCAGTTCATGTCAGGTCATGAAATTGTAGCTGACCTATTTTTAACTATATCACAGAGTAACTATTGTGTACTAGATTTTATACATATGTTTTACATCTGTATACCAAAGTGTCCCACCACAGTCTCATTTTTCTGCATGTTTTTTTATTAAAGGGTTTGGGCTTTTATACGGTGTTAAAGCGAACTGTAGCACTGCGACCTGCATAGATCTATTGTGTTACTTTTTTTTTAGAGTTCTCTGCCTAGATCCGTCAGGTACAATAATTGAAGGATATTCTTAGGAGCGACCATCGCTCTTAAGAATATCCTTCAATTATTGTGTGTATTTATCTCCTCCTCTGTATATTACCGTGTATTATATTAATATTAGCGTCTTCCTTCAACTTCGTCTCCAAGACCATCGTTGACAAGGATACAAAGAAGTTTATATTCACGCGATTGACCTTAGAATTCATTTTGCTGTCATCAATGCTCTCCGCACTGATGATCCGCTTATGCTTTTTAAAAAAAGTGGTTTTTAAATAGGTGAACATTTTTATTAAAAACTGCATTTTTAAAGCAGCATAATGGCATATTAAGACTAATATACTATTCATTATATATTCTAATACGCTATTCATTATTATATATTATTCATTATAGATTTGGCAACAAATTACAAAATTACTGTATAACGTAACTGTTATATAACAATTCGTAAGAATCATTTGAAATTTCGCTAATGGCCACCATTAGACTCGCTTTCTTACAGGTACGTAGCCATTTCCCGTCATTTTATGGCATGTCATGTTCATAGAGCGGAACCATAGCGGTATGGCATAGATTATGATTCATAGCTTTTTTGTTTTGGCCGTTAGAAAGTTTTATGTAAGTGACACGTGCTATTGAGGAGAGATAATGATTTTATTGTCATTAACTATATACTAGTTGACCTGCGCTACTTCGTCTGCATTACACTAACTAGACATTTATTACTATATTTCGTCCAATTTACATAAGACTTTTTAAAATGATGGTCTGTGTTTTTCTGATATACATATAAGATACATTACTGTAAAGTTTAATTAAAATTCGTTCAGTTTTTGTGTGAAAGAGTAACAATCATCCATCCGTACTCAAAACTTTCGCGTTCATAATATAATATTATTTAAGATTGTATTGGTTTAAACCATGTAGAATTAATGCGTGCTTTTAATAGGACTTGTCTGTTATGGTTGCCGATTGATTTTTTTTATATATGAATAGTAGCTGCGGCAAACGTCATTTTGCCATATAAATAATTCAGTTATGGATCGGGACTAGCAAATTAATAAAATACTAATATCGCTATTTAAAAATAGGGGTTTTTGGTACATGGGTGAAAATTTAGGATTGCCTGTTAAATAAATGCAAAACGGAGAATCATAAAAAAAAATTTGAAGAATTGTGGTATGAAGCACCCTTAACATTTAGAAGTATAAAAAATAGTTGACGTCCTATTCTCAGACTAACTGAAAACATTTTAGAGAAATCGGTAAAGCCGTTTCGAAGGAGTTTTGTTACAAATACTATGACATGAGATTTTATATATTAGATTTAGTCTTGAATAAATATGTACTGCAGTATATAATGAAAAGTATAACCTTTCTCGTTAAACTTGCATTATCTATGGACAGTGCTGTGACGTTTCACAACGTCTTAGTGCAACGTACTGTCAACCAATTAACTAGACCCATCTACTCGTCCCTCGCGCATCCGTGAAAGTAACAAGTGGTGAGGAATGAGAGCTCACGTTGCTATGGACGGTATTAAATAGTGCAATAGTTTGAAAAGGTCGTCGACACGGGACCCGTTGTTGCGTTCGATGCATTTAGAATAAACAAAGAACCAAGATTGCGAATTTCACGATTATCGTGGGACATGTTTGCACAATGAACTAAATATTTTTGGTCAAACATTCGCTTGATTTTTTTTATCTCCGTGGTTTCAGTTAGTCGCTATCGGTGTCCATCATACAATTGTTTTTATGAATGATATTGAAATGTTGCTCTTACCATTAATACCTTTTGCAATATTTTTCATTGCAGCTTCGCTTCTATTGGTCGTAGCATAATGTTATATAGCTTAAAGCCTTCCTCGACAAATGGACTATCTAAACCAAAAATAATTTTTCAATTAGAACCAGCAGTTTCTGAGATTAGTGCGTTCAAACAAACAAACAAACAAACTCTTCAGCTTTATAATATTAGTATAGATATAAAAAACTCCCAGAACAGTA